GACACTCGCTAGAGTAAATTATCCTAACTTGAGTAAAAATGTGTGGTAAGTGAATTCGCTATGGGCAGTTAGAGAGGCGCCATCTATTCATTTTCAAACAGGGGGTAGGGGTATAAGATGATTTTTTATCACATTTTAATAGTAAAATGACATTGAAATACTAATAAAATCTTATCAAAAACATTATTTACAATCAGTATGAATTTTCTTGTGTGGATTAGGGTGAAAATAAGGGCATATTTTGAAATTCACTACAGGGGCGCCACCTATTTTCATACTTCTACCACGTGTAATAACTTATTTTAGATTCGTTAAGGTACGAAATGTACTGAAAAAAATCAATCTAAAGGACCTATATATGTTCATACCACATACTTAAAATTGGATCAATAGCTTTTGTACCGGGGGAGAAAAAAATTCTTGTAATTTAAAAATGTGGCATCATGCAGGATAGGGGTGACCATATCTCACATGATTAACTTCCAAAATATGGAGCATATGTATCTCAAATGTACTCAAAATGGTGTATGTACTCTTGCTTTGTCATAACATTACTAATAAGAAGTAGAAAAATGATTGAACAATTTTAAAAAATATTAATTCTCATTTTGGCTTCAGACGTCCCAGGGGTGACCATATCTCACCTTAATAACTTCCAAAATATGGAGCATTTGTATCTAAAATGTGCTCAAAATGGTGTATGTACTCTTGCTTTGTCATAATAATACTAAAAAGAAGTAAAAAATGATTGTACATTTAAAAAAATATTAATTCTCATTTTGGCTTCTGACATTCCAGGGGTGACCATATCTCACCTTAATAACTTCCAAAATATGGAGCATTTGTATCTCAAATATGCTCAAAATGGTGTATGTACTCTTGCTTTGTCATAATATTACTAATAAGAAGTAGAAAAATGATTGTACATTTAAAAAATATTAATTCTCATTTTGGCTTATGACATTCCAGGGGTGACCATATCTCACCTTAATAACTTCCAAAATATGGAGCATATGTATCTCAAATGTGCTCAAAATGGTGTATATAGTCTTATCTTGTCATAATATTACTAATAAGATGTAGGAAAATGATTGCACATTTTAAAAAATATTAATTCTCATTTTGGCGTACCAGGGGTGACCATATCTCACCTAAATAACTTCCAAAATATGGAGCATATGTATCTCAAATGTACTCAAAATGGTGTATGTACTCTTGCTTTGTCATAATATTATACTAATAAGAAGTAGGAAAATGATTATACATTTAAAAAATTTTAATTTTAGCTTCTGACGTCCCTCAATAACTTTTAAAATTATGTAACATATACAACTCAAATATACCAAAAATGAGGTAGTAGTCTTGCCTTGTCATAATACTATTCATGAGATGTAAAAAAATTATTACACCTTTTTTAATTGAAATTTTCATTTTAGCTTCCGAATCTGACATCTCAGGGGTAATTATATCTCACTTTGATATAACTCTCATATATGCAACATATGCATCTCAAATGTGTGCTCAAAATGGTATGAATATAGTCTTGTTTTGTCATATTTATTGAGGTTCATGAAATCAGAAGTTCAGAATTTATGGATTTGACTGTCTCCCCTGCAGGCTGCAGCTACATATAATTCAGAGACATTAAGATCTACAGTACTTTGAAATATTTGCATCTTCTCCCCAAACACTCCTTGGAACAATGGACGATAAGTCTTTTGCATGCCTTGGATGCAACATCTTTTGTATACTGGTAGCCTATCAGTAGTGTGAGTAGCCTAGCCTCATTTACCCAAATTGGCCCCTTAACCCCAAATCTAAGAATAATGCAATTGTTCCAAAAGCTAAGCTCTTCTTTGGGACCCTAGAAGTGTGGGACATCACAATCATAGATAAATATTTCATTACAATCAATGTATGTTGTATGACAAACATGCAAACTAGAGAATGTTAATGTGGCTAGAAACATTTATCATTACAAAGAGCTCCTTTTCCCGTATTTTACATACTCAAAATCCCTTAATTCAGTGTATAATCCAAGGTGCATATATTGCAGGCCACAGGATAACATATTAACACCTTATCAACATTTGCCATTACTTCATAAATGGAGTAAAGTACTCCCACTACTGACAGGCTAAAAGGATTCCTGTATGGATTACAAAAGACGTTGGGACCAATGTATGCAAAGGAATAATCTCATCCATTGTACCTGTAAAGGGTGTTTGGGGAGCAGATGCAAATATATGAAAGCAGATATTATTTACCCTGATTTATATGTAGCTGTAGAGGAAACAGTCAAAATCCATTGATTCTGAACTGTTGATTTTATGATTCTCAATGAATATGACAAAACAAGACTATATTTATACCATTTTGAGCACACATTTGAGATGCATATCGTGAGGGTTATCAAGGTGAGATAGCCCTTAGGACACCAGAGGCTAAAATTAAAATTAAAAAAAAATGCAATCATTTTTCTACATTTCATTTAAGTAATATGAAAAGGACAGGACTTTTCTGAGAATATTTGAGGATTATATGTTACATATCTTAGAGTATCTTAGAAGTTATTATTATTATATGGTGCAATATGATTACCCTGGAACATAAGAAGCTAAAATTAAAATTTTTGAAATGTATAATTATTTTTCTACTTCTTATTAGTAATATTATGACAAAGCAAGAGTACATACACCTTTTTGAGTACATTTGAGATACAAATGCTCCATATTTTGGAAGTTATTAAAGTGAGATATGGTCACCCCTGGGCATCAGAAGCCAAAATGAGAATTCATATTATTTTAAATGTACAATCATTTTTTACTTCTTATTAGTAATATTATGACAAAGCAAGAGTACATACACCTTTTTGAGCACATTTGAGATACATATGCTCCATATTTTGGAAGTTATTAAGGTGAGATATGGTCACCCCTGGGACGTCAGAAGCCAAAATGAGAATCAATATTTTTTAAAATGTACAATCATTTTTCTACTTCTTATTAGTACTATTATGACAAATCAAGAGTACATACACCATTTTGAGTACATTTGAGATACATATGCTCCATATTTTGGAAGTTATTAAGGTGAGATATTGTCACCCCTGGGACGTCAGAAGCCAGAATGAGAATCAATATTTTTTAAAATGTACAATCATTTTTCTACTTCTTATTAGTAATATTATGACAAAGCAAGAGTAAATTCACCATTTTGAGTTCATTTGAGATACATATGCTCCATATTTTGGAAATTATTAAGGTGAGATATGGTCACCCCTGAGACGTCAGAAGCCAAAATGAGAATTAATATTTTTTAAAATGTACAATCATTTTTCTACTTCTTATTAGTAATATTATGACAAAGCAAGAGTACATACACCATTTTGAGTACATTTGAGATACATATGCTCCATATTTTGGAAGTTAATCATGTGAGATATGGTCACCCCTATCCTGCATGATGCCACAATTTTAAATTTCAATAATTTTTTTCTCCGCCAGTACAAAAGCTATCGATCCAATTTTAGTATGTGGTATGAACATATATAGGTCCTTCAGAATGAATTTTTTCAGTACATTTCGTACCTTAACGAATCTAAAATAAGTTATTACACGTGGTAGAAGTATGAAAATAGGTGGCGCCCCTGTAGTGAATTTCAAGTTATGCCCTTATTTTCACCCTAATCCACACAAGAAAATTCATACTGATTGTAAATAATGTTTTTGATAAGATTTTATTAGTATTTCAATGTCATTTTACTATTAAAATGTGTTAAAAATTATTTTATACCCCTACCCCCTGTTTGAAAATGAATAGATGGCGCCTCTTTAACTGCCCATAGCGAATTTACTTACCACACATTTTTACTCAAGTTAGGACAATTTACTCTAGAGAGTGTCTGGAACAAAATGATACCCTCAAACCTTTTTTACTAGCCGATCACCGAAATCAGACCTGGGGACAGCACTATGTTTATTATTCCCCTATATAACTATATTAATAATTCCTGAAAAGGGGATGGTGTTTGAAATGCGCTTAAGTTAAAAACCACATCACACGTTATTTTCCCATAGGGAAAACTCATGCTATCCATTGTTTTCGGCATAATTTTGGTCATCGAAAATTGATATCTTCAAACAATTCTATTTTTAGAGACGTTTTAGACCCCTTGGTGAATAAAAGTAGATCCTCTTTTGAGTAAATGGGCTCAACATTTTGGAAAAAGAAAGTACTCATTGGGAAAGATATGGCTGTCTAAAATAACTTGCCAAACATCCCATGGACCGTTGTATATTTTACAGTTTGTACAATCTTATCTATTGATGTATGGCCTATTGAAAATTCTCTTATTTTTAATGTGGAGATTTTAACATTTTTAAAAAAGTGCCCAGATGGGGTCCTAAACCATAATTATTCAGAGAGTTGGATCGATATTTTACTATCACAGGGACTTCACTTGAAAGAAAACATATCGTTTTAATAAAAACCACTGTATTGATGGCCAGAAAGTACTCATGGTGATCGTCTAAAATCACTTGCCATACTGTACATGGACCTTTTCACACATTTTTGAAGAATCAAGATGGTTTTCGAAGAGGAATTCCTGTAATAACATCTGGTGCTGGTGCTGCATAGCCTGGATGTACCAATAGATGGAGGAATTTTGATGGTTGAAATAGGCAAATATTGCCATTAAAGAACAAATTTTCCTCATTTCTACATTTCACAAGCTACCTTGGCCAAAATCCAAGTATCAAAATAATAGATTACAAATCAAATTGAGTAAAAAAGTTAAGTGAAATATAAGCCAAATGAATTGAAAATTTGACCAAATATAAAAATGGGGTTAAAAGATTTCACAAAGCTACTGTATTTTCAGTTTCAAACAGTATTGATTCATGGTGCTCATTGTGCCCATTGTTTGTCTCCTAAGAGAGCAAAATAATTCAGTCTATATAAAGCTTTTGTATTTTTATTTATTTATATTCTGTTCCAGTTGCTCAGTTTGCCAGGAGGCTGTGTGGAAGTACAAATGTCCTGGATGTCTTGTGAAGACTTGCTCCCTGCCATGTGTAAATCTACATAAGAAGAATAACAACTGTAATGGAAAGAGAGATAAAACAGCATATGTTAGGAAGAGGGATTTCAACGATAGCAACCTGCTGAATGGTAAGACAATGGCTTTTGATTATTTAGAATTGTTCTTGACCATTTTATGTTAACTATTAAGTATAGTTTTATATGATATTACTTTACAAGCTAGGAAAAGATTGAAGCTCTTTATTCGGAAAATGTAAAAATACAGAATGATGGTTTTCATCGTAATCTAAAAAAAGGTATAATATTATCATCAACATGGCAGGTGGATGGTGATGTGTCTCATTTTTCTTATCAGGACATGGCTCGACAGATCGATTTGAAAATGTAGAACTGAGTAGTTTTTGGGCATGCTGGGTAGACTTTAGGGTATCAATTTCAATATTTGGCTCTTTTTTCACCTTGCACCTTGTACAAAAAAGTGGAAAATTTGAATACAGAAATGACACTAATTCATTAATTTATTAAACATCAAAAACAACTATCCGATCTAAAGCTGACAATAATTCATTTTATGTAAAATTTGAATTAAAGGCCAAAAATGTTTCTTTTAGATAAAGGTATTATCAGCATAAATATTGCTTGGGGTGCAGTATTTAAATGCTTGGGATTTTACCATTGACCCTTAGTTTTCAGGGTTTTAAGTTTAAAATCAAAGAATGTGAAATGGCTGAGATAGTGATATACAATTTTGGGATTTTTCTAGATTACAGATTCCTTGAGGATGTTGCTAGGACTAGTGATAGTGGGCAGAGAGATCAGTTGAACCGTCCACTAGGGAAAAATAAACCTTCATATGTGAGTTCAAAAATTCAATTATTTATCATTTAGTTCAGGGATTTTTGTAAATGAAATAAAATTAATTAAAATAGTCTACAGTGGTAAGAATTTCCAATTACTACCATTTATTGAATTGTTCACATTTGGCCATTTCATAGAATTGAATTGTAGTAATCACTGTAATTCTCATTTTAAATAAACCTATATGTTTGATTTCATAATAATATGTAACATTAACACAATCATTTCTTCACCAAGTAAGTAGTATGGCAATTTTCAAATTGAGAGAGCAGCATCATTATCAATTTTAAAATGCAATAAGTGCAACTTCCACATAAACAATTTCTTAAGCTTTGATAATTATAGAATATAAGGTTAATGTCTGTTGATTGTGTAACAAGTAACATTTTGAACAACAATAGTGAAAATTTGATTATTTTAAATGTCACTTTAAATGCTAGGGAAATCACTAGGTGCGTATTTCAATTTTTACAATTTGGGTTTATAAATCTTTGTAGCGGACACTGTAATGATCCTGACATTTCTCTCATGACAGGCTAAATGAGACTGCATAGGATGACTTGATGTTTTATATTACAGTTGAATAGGATCCTCCAACAGGCTAGAAAAAGACAGATGAACTTGTATATCATGCCAAAACAGTTCACTAAGAGGAAACTCAATTGTACGTGGTATAGTGAAAGGTGAGCAGGCTTGTTGCATTTGGAAAATAAATAAGTACATGTTATGTTTATGCCAAAAAATTAATTTATTCACATTTCATGTAATGTTGCTATAATTGTTTAACATTTCTTCTCAACAATTCTTGTTTAATCTCCTCCCTGTGACACTTTAATTGAACATTTAGAAAATAAAACAAATATTATTACTCGACTAAATGCTCTATTTGTAGGACCAAAAAGATGCAGTGGACTGTGGAGTGGAGCTTTCCTCATGTTAATGCCAAATATAGAGACAAAAAGTTAGTGCATTTTTATGTCAAAACCAAGAAGTGGCTTTTTGTGACTGGTGGTTAGTGTCTGTAAAAACTAACTGTTTCACTTTTGTATTTGTAACCATTTGCAATTATTCACTAGATTCTGACATTTTAAGCTCATACAAAACAACATTAAGATATTAAGTTTCAACAGTTTATTATTTTATTATGATGATTGATTTAATCAAGTGTTTGCTATTCCGTGGTGTCACCAATTTACAGTAATAATTTGGTAAAAATCAGAAGACCTTTCCAACAAAACCCTGCCTTTTAAAAGCTTTTTCAGAATTAATCAGTTGTATAATTTCTTATACTGTAGTAGGTAGCATGATTTACTGATTTATTTTCAGAGTTGAGGAAGATGCGATTTTAAGAGATGTGCTGGCCAAATATGTAGAACAAGGTCAGGGTGACCCCGTTATACAGCATAAACTGAAGCCCTATGTAACAAAGGGTCTTGGGGAGTGTAAACTGTACATGAAAATTGAACGTAGAAGAGCCAACTCTGTTAGGTAAGAATTTCTTTAAAAAAGATCATACAGTCTTTAGACAGCATATGTTTATTTGTATAAGTTAGTAAAGTTGTTCAGACCCATACCTACCTCATCCAAGGCAGTCTATTTAATTTAAAGTTTTGCCTCAAAATGTTATCCCTTTTCTCACAAATTCTATATTCATGTTGGTCCATATTCATTTTACATCTCAAAAGTAAGGAGAGATTTTTTACAGTTTATATTTAAGAAATCTCACTCACACTCAGTTGGAGATCTTCTCTGACCCCCCCCCCCACAAACTTTGCTCTTTACTTTTGAGTCAATTATTATTGCTTAAGTTAAGTTTAGACTGTTGTTTATTTGAGGAGTGGGATGCTTAATAGCACATCATAACACATTCTCCTGGTAGTAGGGGGACGACCTTATACGAGACTAGCAGTTGAAATGAATCTGGAATTGGATAAAGAAAATGTCAGTTAAAAGGATATTGGAACAAAATTTTTTATACCCTGCACAAAATAGAAATCTAAATCTCTATGTTTTATTTTAAATAATTGCAGGTATTATGCATTAGACCTGGATAAGACCCTTCAAGACAACCTCACACATAAAACAGTAGTGGAGTACCCTGTGATACAAGTAGTGCTAAAAGACAGAGTGGGGGAATACAAAACTTTGAAACCTGGTAATTATTCACATGCACTATTAATGCATATTAGAGAACACTTTTTACATAAATATTCATTTTAATTTCAGAATACTGAATCTCAACACATATAAAAAGTTTAAAACTTGCCAATGATACATGATAATGCAATGTAACAGCCTGAACTATTTTGGAATCAACTTAAGGCATTAAATGTAAAAGCAGAATTTTAATTGAGAGTTCAAGCAAAAAGGATTTAATCATGACCGTCTCATTCAAAATTTTTAATATAATGCTATTGATTTTGCTTCCAGATGGGACAGATTACACTTCAAGCGAAGCATCAAGTGATTCAAGTGATGATTCTACAGATTCTTCAACTGATTCGTCTGAATCTGATTCTGAAACTCCCGTCACCATAACAACTGAAATAAAACAAGAAAAATTGGAAGTGGAAATTCCAAATGTGGATTCAGAAACTATTAACGATCAGTGTGAAAACTTGAAGGCACAAACTGAAGATCTAGAAACTGCTAATCATGATAACAAATGCGAGGTGTTAAAATCTCAAAATGAGGATTTAAAAACTTCAGAGAATAAGAACCTATGTGAAAGGAAGACACTAAATGAGAATCTGGCAACTGTTGATGTTAAATACACTGATAGCAAAGTTAAAGTTGAAACCAGACTTGATAATGATACAGAAGATGGTGCAACAAACACAATGAATAAAGATACAGACACCGTGAACAAAAGCCATCAATGTTCACAAGAAATTAGTAAAAGGCAAAATCAAGATCAGGACACTGAGGATATCTCAGTTAAGAGACAAAAAACCTCTGATGAGGGTAATAAGTCAATTTTAGAATGAATATATGAATGAAGAACAGTCCTGAACTTTTACAAGTATTACAGAAGCTCACAATTATCCTTGTAATGTACAGGATAACCCCAAAAATGCAACCCTATATTTTTGGAATAACCTTCTCAATCATGGTGTAATCTTCTTAAATTATATTTTGTAGAGTGTCCAATAATGCTTTAATGATCAATGTTGTTCTTATATAGTATTGATTCATTGATGCTTATATAGTCTTAAGTATTCTACTGTTTCTATGCATCACAAGAAAATTGGGGAAGATTCCAGAAAAACGGAAAATTTATTCCAAATTCAAACATGACCATTCTCTAATTGAGTTTCTCAACCAATCAGAATGCAGCATAGCCGCTCTTTAATTCTCCATACATGAACGACCGTGCATCTATTCAATCATCGGGGAATCTATGTGTTGTGTTGTACTGTAACAATAACCTGGGAATTGCGAAAACAGCAAGTTTGGTTATTTCATTGACCTCAATCCCCAATTCTCTAAACAATGTTGTCATTTTTATGTTTGAATCAGAATAAATTATGATAGGCAATTCAATATGGAACCTTTGGTTTGTACGACATTTTGTCCAACTCGTGCTGAATTTCACCATATTGAATGGCCTATCATTATTTATTCCTTGAATAAAAGGGTTGTCCACATAACCTGTCTACTTACTTAAATATTGAACCAATCTGATTAATACATAAAATATAGTCAAAACCATATTTTCTAGGTTTGCTTTCAGATTTGGGACTTAGTTATAGACCTTTATATCGAGAGCTTGTTTCTAGGATCATGTTTATATTTCCTCCAAATATGAGACACATAAGTTCACAGAACAGACTGACTGATTTATGAACAGCTTCATTAATATAAATACATTTATTTGTTGGAATAGTAATAAATTATCAAATGTGAAGAAATCATCTCGTCCTCTACATTTTCAGTGTACATGTGAAAGAATTTGGGAGGATTCTAGTCATGTAGGTTTGAGTAGAGTCTTACTGAGTTGAATTGATCTCCAAGGTGTTATAACACACCACACCTTGGATGCAGATGCTTTTTTCTGTCCTGTTACTGTGTGGTGGTTCATACCTGTGGAAATCATCAAGGAACCAATCAAAAGTGTCCAAATATTTGTTTCACCAGCAGTCACACTTATAAATTATCATTTTATGGGCCTTAATGGGCGTTGATGGGGATTCTATTGAACTGATTCCTTGAACTGATGTTTATCTTACATTATCATGACAAGATTTTGTAACATGATATCTTTATTTTGAGAATACTACATTGTGTATTAGCATTTTGTTCTGTTTACTCAGTGAATGTGGATTCATTTTTAGATTATTTTGGTGAAGTTGGACCAACTGAAACCAGACGAGTCTCCTTTCATTCGCATACTTTGTGAAAGGTAGATTAAGATTGCCTGCGTGGCCATGTTACAAAATAGGTTTATGAAAACCTACAGCTAGTATACAAATAAATTAAAACAATATAATGTATAATCTGTTATGTAGGCTAGTTTTATTTAGGTAAGAAAAATATGTAGTATACAGTCTGAAGTATTTACACAATGCTTAATGGCAGTAAATTTACTATGCAAATGTCATCAATATGTTTGCAGAGAGGATGTCAATAGCTACATGATCACTTCATTTCATCAATAAATTCAACTGACATTCTAAATCTTCAACCTGTAATAATCTAAGGGATAAAAAAAATGGGACAGCATCTTTTCCATTCAATCGAGGTTGGGCCATGCAGCCGAAGGTAAGCCATACAACCAAATTTTGCCGATTCAATCTGACGGAGAATGCCGAGGCTCTCTTTTTGACCAATTAGAGACGTCCTCTTCACATTCGTGGTACCCTCGGTAATAATATGACTAGTATATGATCAATTAAGGATAATACAATTTTCTCATATGACTAACAAAGATACATCCATCTTTACCCCATGCAAGATATTGCCATCTTTCATCCTAAAAAGTCACACGTGCAAGATGAGATTTACTTGTGACATCACTGGTCTATAAACATCAAGAACATGGCAACGGACACACCGTTGCTATGAGTATCCATGCTAATTCTACAAAACTAAGCTGTGACATCATAACAATGGAGCTTTTTTGCTCCGTGTATCTATGTATTTTCTTCAATATTGTTATGACGTCATAACAATTGCAACATGAAGTTCAAATAATTTGAAGCTATTTTTCACTCAGATTTATGATAAAATGGTGAAAATATGGCATAATGCAGAGTCATATGAGAAAAACTTTCTTGTACTCGTACCTGTGCAATATCGTCCATTCTTGACTCGCTTTGATAATGTTTCTCATCTTCAACTCGATAAAGAAGAATTATCAAAGCTCCTCAAGAATGATCGATCTTGCACAGGTACTCATATAAGAACCTCTATATCCCCCCCCTCCGTGAATATGCCTTTTCTCAGTATGATAAAGATTAAAGATGTGACTAACAGTTCAGAAACAATTGAGATGTTTCCCACAAATGCCCAGTTTTAGCACCTTTGTCCAGGGAGTGTCATTGTAGAAGATGTAGGCCTACAGGTGAAAATGAATTTCAAGCCAGTTGCTATGTCATTTACCTCCTGGTAAACTTTTAGTAAAAAAGCTGGTCCTGATCAGAAGTTACTGGCTCTGAGGGGCACTTATGTCACACCCTGTCACTGCTTATATCGTTTTTGTAGCATAGTACATATAATTTAAAATATTGTTCCCTTCCATTCTCTTAGTGCTATCCTCCATGTAGGGTTGATATAAACACTATCCTATCGCTATTTTGAACTGCGTATTCCAATTCACCCTGAAAGAATGCAACATTGTAATTAAAATGGAAGATCAAATATCAGTACACTGGCAATTTTTCATCTTTACCATACTGCCATATCTTTACAGTTATTCTTTACAGAAAAATATAGATTCAGTACAAAAACAAAAGTGAAAATTCTTAACAAAGATGTTATTGAATCAGTGAAGACTCAAAGTATGGAAGTCACTTTATGGAATAATTTCAGAATAAATGAAGAATCATTTCAGATTTTTTAAAGTCAATTTAGATAAACTTGTAACATGTTTTATGGACATCATGATGAGAAAGATACCCAAATCTGGGATCTCCAGTGAAAGGAGTTGAAATTACATTATTGATATTGAACATTTATGACGCCTTTACATGTCTCATATATACTCTGATTCCAAAAGAGTTACACCAAGATGAAGGGTGTCTCATTTAATACTATTTCTATCAGCCAGGTGACGTTATAGGAATGACCTTGACCTTCCATGAGCTCAAATTAATGACATTTGGGACTCTTAAATATTTCAAAGCTCTCATTACATTTACAACACTTTGAACAGCAACTCTCAAGATGCAATAAGACACTATTTGATGCTTCATAATCATTAACATGTAGAGAGTCATCTACTTTTAAGTTCGATGTAATTTTGAAAGCTTGATCCTACTCACCATCAACTCCCAGTCTGCATCATTTATTAGAACCAGAATTCCTGGCCGTCTGAAAAATAAGAAATGTGGTTAAATTGAGTTTATGGTATACAATGAATAAAGTGCTGTATAACACTTGTATAACTACTCGGTATTTCTAATTTATTTGATGCCAGCTTTAATTAGACTCAGTACAATAACTACGGCCATAAAATCATATAAACAATTAATGTGAATATAAGTCTCAAATATTACAACAATGTAGCATAGGAGGTCTGCATATTTAAGGTAAAGTAAATATGGTTCATGCACTTACACTGTATCTCCTTGCATGAAGAGCTCTGGACGTTCTTTTAACATATTATCCCGTATCCAAACCAATAAAGATTTTATCGTCCCTGCAAAAGCAATATATACTTGATTAAGTTTACATTTAATAAGAACCTTTGAATTACACATTGCTGGTAATAGTTTCGACTTGAGAGACATTCTTACAGTGATTATTCTTAAAATTTAAAAAGTGTAATTATTCCAATCTTAATTGAATGAATTCTATGATTTGCTATAACATTTATATATAATGAGATAGCTAAATGACATTGACCTCAAACATTTAATCAGTAAGGGTTTCCACTTTCCAGACAATTAAAATGTCTTGCGAAGATGGGTTGAATTATCAACCTGAATTCAGCGAAAGATAATACATAATCAGTGTATGCCCTAAGGATTCCAGAGCTGCTGGTCAAAAAGGCATTACTGACCAATTGCAATGTTATTTTCCTATACAGTACCTAGTGAAAAAATCAACTGGTCAGTATCAAAAGTAACCAGATAATGACCAGCTGTCCGACGCTTAAGGCGTGCCCTGTACATAATATAAGGGAATCATGAACAGATACAGATGATAGTTTTTATGTCACCACCAAAAAGTGGTGATATATTGTTATGGTCTCTGTTTTTTTGTGACGGTGGTCGGTAGTTGGAGATAAGTGGTTGGCAATCGGCGGTTGGTGTCTGTAACAAATGGTGATGACATTTTGCATGTTAATGCCTTGTTTCTACTTAACACAGGGTTAGAGAGGTCCCTCTCTATATTCTGTATACATGTACTATAATACCGCACTGACGAGAACCCCCCCCCGTCCAATGCCTTGGACTCTTACTTGTAGATACATCAAAATGTTAACAAACTTCAACAGGGACAAATATGTATAGGCCTACTGATGGATATGCATGTGTAAATGAATGCACCCTATTCCCTCCGTAGATCATTATTTCCCAATAGTTACTTACATTGTTCTGAGGATTCTGGGAGGGCAACATTGTGTTTCTTTGTCTTTCCAAAAAGCAGCTCAGCGCCCCCACTGAAATTAGATGAATCACTGCATGCATAATTCTATTTCCAAGAAAACAGGTAATAACTGTTATTTTCTGAAGTTGTAGTCTTTTTATAAAAAATTCATTCATTGATATTATCATATATTTGCGGCAATTGGGGTTATTAGCCTCTTGCAAATTATTAATGTTGATGAAAAATTCTCACTTTAAGACAGCATTATTCACTCTGTATCATCTGACTGGGTTCCAGTCATAGTTAAGAATTACAAACTATCAATTTAAATCATTGAATTTAGCACACTTTCTTTCAATTTCTTTCTCTGGCTTGTTGCACTATATAGATACTTGTTAGTTAGTCATTCCCCTTGGGACAAGTTGGAAGCCCTCGGGTCATTACATTGGTGTCAGATAGGATCAAAGCATTGGTTGTATTCTTTGCGCCTGTGTGTGTGCTAGTCACTGCTAGGAAAGCAGGGCTGACTATGAGGGCACGGTCCTTTCAAAGGGGGGATAGTGTAACGACCCTTGATAGCAAGTTGCTACTACAGTCCAGCTGTAGTGGCTTAAGCCTTTATAGCTCAGTCGGTATAGCATCAGTCTTTGGATCCAAGGGTCCTAGGTCTGATTCCCACACGGGGCATTGAATTTAGCACACTTTCTTTCAATTTCTTTATCTGGCTTGTTGCACTATACTCGTTACTTAGTCATTCCCCTTGGGTGCCCTCGGGTCATTACATTAGGATTCTTTTATGTTTTATTTAAAATCCTTAAGGTACTGATGGACTTAAAAACACTCACTGGAGTAAATGCTGAGCTTAAAAAAGAAATCAATTACTCATGAGATCAATAAACAATTTAAAACCTTTTTAAAAAGGATCTATTTACAATAATAGATGGCAGTCAAAAAGATGTTTAATAAATGTAAATATGGAAATCAAACTCTTAGCCAACAGCTAGTTGAAAGCCCATAGTTAAGGGAGGAACGAAAACATTTTTGAAAAAAATGCTATTCTAGTGTTGTTCAAAAAATGTTGAGAAAATATTTGAAGATGTATTTCATGAAATATCAGCATTTCCTAAACCTAAGCAGAAGAAACTAACTTTTTGCAGATTGCCCCTACTGGGAAATTGGAAAATCGCATCATGATTTATTTCTGTCAGATACCTAGGTGCATCAATGCACCTCTGGGGCTTTATTTATATATCTGAGATTTGTCACGACCCTAGTAGTGACCCTATTAAAACTCCTACAGTCAAAAAGTCATTAGAGGCGGGGCTTCCACGTTTATCAGATACATGTACCCTGCTTGCTTATGCTTCCTGATTGACGCTGATGGAGCAATTCACAGTTTACTAACTTCTAAAAGGTAAGCGAGTGTCCAAGGCATAAGATAACTCTATTTTTTCATTCTAGCCAGTTAGTCAGGAGTTGAAATCGACTTTAAAGTGGTGAACATAAATAATTACTAACACTATGAAAAAGTTGAGTGCTCTATATTTTCTCCGTCCCGGAACGTACAAATATAGTGGAATTTGTGTCCATAATGACAAATAGGAACTTAAAAATTTGAAGAGAAATTCACATGTTAATGCCGACTCTTCAAATGTTTTGGATCCCAATAACGCCGCAAGGAGGATTGGCTCCCAGAATGCAACATGACACGTGCCAGCTTTCAATATGCTGTTCTGGCATTTTGAAACCTGTCACGAATAAATAAGGTTAACTGATGTTGCATTCTGGGAGTCAATCTACCTTGGATCACAAACATGGCGATCCATGAAAACATTCGTCTGATTTGGTAGGAATTTATCCATCATTTGCAGGTATGAAGCGTTGGATTCATTTATTGTGCTACTAAAGTGAACGGGAATTATTTTTCTACCGCTTGGGAGAGTTTGAGACATGAAACTTAGAATTTGGCTCATTGTGACAACTTTTGATGGTTGAGGTTTATTAATGTCTCCCACTGTAGATCACAGGGGCTTGTCTGGACCCTGTGCTGTAGATAGTCTAGTACATAGATCTAGATCATTTAAAAAACAAAGTCAGGAGAAAAAAAGAAGTCTGTCTTTTTTGACAGTCAATCGTCCCATTCAAGCATCGACATATCCCAAATGTTTCTAGTGAAGACCTAAATACATGTATGACATACGAATAATATAATATTGCGTGTGTTCCAATTCCTTACCTAAACTCTATGGTTATATTTGTTTCACACATCGTGTATAAAAATATTCTGAACGATCGAAAGTGATTGCTCGTTAGAAGGAAACGGTTTAAAAGGGGATTCCCCAGGTTTACAATTCTGGGAAATTCGAGGTTCTGTCACCTGTGTGCTTTTGAAACACGGATATAAGAAGTAAGAATTTGAAGTTGTATATCATTGGCCATACTATTTGATTACATTGATGCATGTATGAAATGTGTTAGATCAAGCATGGACCTATATGGATCAAGGCCCAAATATATTATTTACATGGGATGATCTGTGATTGTTTTTTTTGGTGGGTTACTTTTTCAAAAAATTGTAGATCTATTGCAATCTTGGGGTTGAAAATAAGCTAGATTAAACGGTGGTTATTTAGATAAAATTTAGCTTTATGTTAACTACTGACAATGTTTTAATACTACAAGATTTCAATTCACAAGTAGTTGTGGGGGTGATTTGAAAAGGCAACCCCACATTTATGCACATGCTATCTATTGCAAGACTTACGCCTGCCACCGTCGCCATGTTAATCAGTGTTTTTAAGTAGTGCAAGGATCCTGCCATGACCGTGGTAGTGTTAATGTAAGCCTGGTATAAACGTGACAGGCTGGTTTAACCGTGACAATGCTGTATTATATTGCAAGGCCTGTCATGACCCTGGAAGTGTTATCGTGGAAGCCTGGCATGACCGTAGCCTTTATTGTGGTTTATAATAGAATGTGAACATTAATGTATAGTAATAATTTTGATTTTGACATGATTAAGGTAGTTAGACACCATGATCATAGTATTAAACTGTTTAATTGTAATGACGATCACTTAAAATTGTTAAGGATATTCCTGGCATTAATGTCATACATATTTACTAGTCATTGCAATACATTATAACGGTCATAGTAGGACTAAGGCTTAATTTCTACATAACCACCCTAATACCTGGCCTTGCAATACTATATTACATTGTCACGGTCATGCCGGGTTTTCAAATACACATTGTCACGGTCACTTAAAACAATCATAAATTTCTACATTACCACTCTCATACCCGAACTTGGAATACTATATCACATTGCCATGGCAGTCATACCAAGCCTTGCAATACTATATTACATTGTCACGGCCATGCCAGGCCTTGCAGTACTATATTACATTGCCACGGTCATACCAGGCCTTGCAGTACTACAGTATATTACATTGTCACGGTCATGGCAGGCATTGCAATATACATGTAATACAGCATTGTCGCGGTTATACCAGGCTTTCACGATAACATTACCACGGTCATGGCAGGATCCTTGCGCTACTTAAAAACACTGAATAACATGGTGACGGTTACGCCAGGCGTTAGTCTTGCAACAGATAGGGTCTCCATTTATGGGGGTATTTCCCAAAAGTTCAGAGATATATTTGTAGATTTACCACTGAGTGTGGCCATAGAATATAAATAAGACACTCTTTGTTGTTTTGAATTCACCTTTAAATTGCCCGGCTGGGTTATTTTTATTGATGTAAACATTATAAACTCATCTTCATTGATCTTTACATGCAGTCCTAGTTCATAGAATCGTCTACCTCGCATGATGTTTTTCATAGTGAAATAAAATTTCTCCGATTTCCAACATTTTTCTGTCGACTAGGCTGCCATCTATATGTAAGCTCATTGAGAACAGACAAAAACGGGACGACTTCTAGTAAATGAAAATGTTCAATATCTCATCAACAAGACAATCCGTTACCATTTCAATTCATGAGATATTAACCTGACAGTTTTTAGAATATTCCTTCAATTTATTGAACCCCGGCTAGAAATTTTACATTAGTTCACGGTGTTCCAGACTTCAAGTCAATAATTGGCTAGAGACTTGAGAAATTGAAATTGTAGATAATCCTATAGTATCAGATATAAGAGAGCATATACTCTCGAATCAGATTGGGCTAACTAGTAACTGTGTGTACCAGTTTAAATCATATTTTATCGCAGTATGCTTCCTCTAATTGATGGTTTTATGCCAAAAAGTTTTAGAGAATTGAAACCTCTGAACTTGCCAAGCCAACCAGAGCTTGTCATTGAAAGAAGGAAACTTTTCTATACATTGTCATTTTTTACCCATTGTTTACCCAGTTTGACCAATGTTAAACATTATTTAAACATGTTTCTGTTCGCTGTTTGGTTGAGAAAATGTCAGCGCGGTTGGTTTAGATTAATCCAAGCTATGATTGCTACCAGTCCGTGGGGGCTACTGTCTTTAGAATTAACCTTTGTTTAGAACTGTTACTGTTAGCTGTGGTAGATTAATCCCTTTCGCTCATATATTTCTTTTAGCCTGAAGGTTCTGGGTTCAATTCCCACATGGGGCAATGAATTTAGCACACTATCTTTCATGACTGTTTCTGGCATGTGTTACACTATGGTTGGCAGTTGGCCATTCCCCGGGGAAGTGCACTGGGGTTGTTATATTGGTGTCAGAAGTGAAATGTACGGGCCCGTTGCATATTCAGTGTGACAACGGGGCATTGATGATGTAACAACCCTAGTTAGCAGGTTGCTACTGTAGCGCATCTGTAGTGGCTTCAGCTCAGTGGTAGAGCATCAGACTTTGAACCTGAGGGTCCTGGGTTTGAATGAGGTTGTTTTGAAGTGTTTTCCTCACATATCTGCCTTCTTTGTTATGGCATTGGTCTTATATCTGGACTTTTGGTATGGCACTGGGCCCTACATTTAGACATTTGGTATGGAATTGGTCTTGTATTTGGACATTTGGTTTGTGTTTTGGGCATTATTTTGGCTGGTATGGGAACACTTTAAAACTTGTCAGAATGGTATGGGAATATATTGATTTCTGGTAGAACCGCAAAATTTTGTATACAGTGAACCCCCAGGGTTGGGCATTACCCAGAGTCGCCCTCTGGTTGCTACAGAAGCATCTCCAAAATTAAAGAAATGTTAAGAAAACAGCTTCACTTACATGCCTTACATGTAGGAGTCTAACTCAAATTCATTTTTGGTAGTGATGAAACTTATTCAAACAGGGTTGAAACCAACTGCACAGTGTATATGATGAGTAGAATGAATATATCATGTAATTTAGATAATTTACTCAATCAATGGACAGAATCTGATTATGCTGTTGTTTGATTTTCAGAAATGACATGATCCCATATAAAAGTGATTACAATGGGTAAGTGTTATAGCAAGCAGAACAAGGAGAAAGTTGACAAAGATGATGTTCCTTATAGTAGAAAAGGCAAATCCAAAGAGCATGACACTGATGAAAATGGCAGTGGTGCCTCTCAACTAGGTTCTCCCCAAAATAGGAAGGCTACCCCTACAACCAGTGCCACCAATAAACAATTGAACGACATTGGGTCTGCCAACACAATTCAACAAGTGAGTAAATTTCAAGATATTTTATCAATTTACTGATGGAACAAGAAGACTGATATCGTGGATAAACATGTCTGTCATCAAATTCTTATTTTTATAGGATCAAGGAGAACAGGCTGAAGCGCAAAATCAACATAATGAACTTCTGCAAGGGGCAGGAGATCAGAGTCAAGGAACTGAAAATCAGAGCCAAAGCACTCAAAATCAGAGTCAAGGGTCTGGAGATGACCTTGACCTAGTAGTAGAGTCAGGTGCCACAAATGATACTTCTCCAGGTTTGTTTGTTTGTTTGGTTGGTTGATTGATTGCTTGCTTGTTTAGAGTAACAACAACCTCACATAGCCATTCTGATATCCTGTATGTTCAGACTGTTGACTGAAAATGCTACGTTTACAATAACTAAACATTATTTGGGTTCGCCAGTGTAATCCAATACACAGTATAGCCTTTTTATATCCATAACTGTTACTGTTTGACGCAACCTACTTCGTGTTTCTTCCTCAGAATTTTAACTTCTGGCGTAAATTTAAGGTTGCGTCAAACAGTAACAGTTATGGATATAAAAATAATTACCAAACTGAAGAAATATGTTCAGACAGTATAGCCTTGTTTTACTAATTGAGAAATGTATTCATGGTGCTGCCACCACACATAACAATAAATTATATTTTTCCTTTCCAGATCACTTCTTTGATCCTAAATTCCTGAACAATATCAGTAAACATATCGGGTTAACATGGCGTAGCTTAGGTGTTGAACTGAACTTTTCACGTCATGAACTGGACAACATGGAAAAGGATTATCCCAATCTCCAAGCTCAGTGTGCATTCCACATGTTGAGCACATGGCAGGAGAAGTTGTCTTCAAACAAGGATGCTCGGAGTGAATTAGCTGCAGCAATGAGGGAAGCAGATAGAGGAGATCTAGCTGAGGATGTGGAAAATTATGATAATTCAAAGGTTAGAGTCCATCATTGATAAATTTCCTATTGAGTTATATGTGCAACGATTATAAGAAAGCAAAAAGGGTAACATATGGAAAACTCAAGATGTTGCTTATTTCCTGCTTTTTGTTTTTAGTTTACTAGGAATACAGACAGACCTACAAGAAGTCCTAGTTCTACACAGATACATGTTGTTGGGGATAATACACAGACAACCCATGTGCCACCAAACATCATAAGATCTCCAATTAAACAAGATGTGCCCAGAGGCAACTCTATGTTATTCAATGAATCCCGGGGGGAAGCATCTTTCGAAAAACCAGGTGAATTTAATCTACTTTTAGGGGGCCCAATCTTTATTGCTTGATTAAAATCTTCAAAAATACAAATTACAGTAAAAAACTGTGATTACTGAACATTTTTTACCAAGCTAAATCATTCTCTGTATGTAAAAGTTGACTCATATGAGAGGTTTTGAATTTTGTAACATTTTGCTATATACCAACCAGACTCGAGTGGGGATTTACAGAAGCTGTCCATTTGTGCATTGGCTGAATATTGCAATATATTGAATATTGTTTATAATCTCTGTTCGATTCAAGAAGTTATGGTTCCAATGTAATTATCCTCACTTCAGGGTTGGATGTCTAAATAGTTGTTAAAATTCTTGATTATCCCCAATAATGGCTAATTAGAGAAATTGACATTTTGGATTTTAATTTTGAGCTTTTATGAAAGTGACATACAGGTGAGTCACTTAAAGGGAAGACTTGAAAATAAACAATTTTCAGATAGTTATTAAAAATATAAATTCATTTAATTTAACTCAAGGCAATTATTCACAACTGAGTGTTATGTTAAGCTATGTTATGAGAATACATTTATATACATTGTATTTAAGGATATATATCAGTATATTGTATACTCTTTTTAACATATGCTTTCTTGATTGAGTAATCTGATATTTTTTTGATATCATTGCAACACCCAGATCCGAAAGTCACAAACCTTAGTCTTAAGTCATGGAAACTTCACTACCAATATCTCTTATTCACCTTTCCATTTTCAGAATACCCCTTCAGCTTACAGTTCTTAAGGGGCATTGCAGGACAAATGGGTAATGACTGGCGTGATGTTGGCACAGAACTGGACTTCACTCTACCTGAACTGGATAATATTAAGCAGTTTTTTCCCGATGACCAAGCTAAGTGTGCCTTCAAAATGTTGAACACATGGCAGCAGAAGTTGCCTTCAGGTGATGCCAGGGGTGCCAGGGATGCCAGGGGTGCCAGGGATGAATTAATTACAGCCCTAAATCAAGCAGATCGAACAGATTTAGCTGAATCGGTGGGAAAATATGAAGGTAGAGCCATATATTCTGATTTTCACATACTAGTACAAGACAGGATATATTAATAGAACACCTTGTAATTAAGACCTTACAGAAAACATATGTGAAAAGAAATGAATGAAAAGGTCATCTACGGGTCCTCGGAAGATATATTGTATATCCCTCGGGATATTCCTGTATCCAAAACCTCCCAATGCATAACCCCTATATAATGCATGCAGGTATCTTTCTATGCTGGTATTTTGCATGCAGGGATTGGTTGTGGGTCTGTATATTTATTATGTTTGCAGGTAGCGGTATTGAGACTCCTAAAGCAGTTTCCAATATTAGTCCAATGAGAAAATCAAGTTTTGAGTGTACCAGCTATCGAGAAATGAAACAAAAGCTTGACGATGGATGTCGCTATCTTATACTCTCAGGTAATTTTTGGTTGCATCTTAGTGACTCCTTATAAAAAAGATATATGAACGAAGGATATTATAGACATAAAAAACTGTTGAAAGGATTGGCATTGATGTGGCGAACTGAATTCAAGGTAAAAAGCATGGTCCTTTATGTAATGGTCACTGATTGACAACAATATAATGCGAAAATTGTTTAAACATATTTTTTATAACTGTTTTTTTGTTTACATTTTTTAAATTTTTTTTGTGCAATTGTTTTTTGTTCCTTTCTACCAATTCTTGAGAATGAAATAAAATATCTTTCCGAACCTTGTTGGAACAAAATAGCATATGCAACATTTTCTAAGACCTCTCAATATTATAGTTATACAAAGGAAAATTTGGTTGATTTAACAAAAAGTATTTAAAAAATTAAAACAAAAACGTCCAAAATAGATAAAAAATAAAATCAACCAAACTTTTATTTGTACAATTACAATATTGAGAGACCTAAACATGTTGTGTATATGTCATTTTGTTCCAATGAGGTTCGGATAGATGTTTCGTTTCATTCCGAACATACGATACCAAGAAGTGTCTGATATGTTTTCTAAAACGAAATAGAGAAAAGTATATATATTTTTTAAAATTAAATTGTTACCATGATGATCACTTGATTCACGATTTGTAAAATTTTCAGAATTTTTTGATGACTGGTTTAAAGAGAAACATGTGTTCAATTCAGTTCGCCATATTGATACCAATCCTTTGTATTCGTTTTTACTCCAAACTTCCTATTCATTGATCCTGTTTTCTAAAAGTCTAAGAATTCTGACTTTATTTCATAAAAATGCTATAATTGAAAATTTGACATTTCTGCAGCTTAAATCTTCAACAGCTAGCTTCAGTGTTTGATGAGGACTTCAGTATATAGTGAGCCCACACATATTTTTGTCAAATACTTTCACATGCCGTTAAAAACTTTGTGTGGGGTACTGTATATATTTCTTTTACTCTAATACCTTTTCTGCTTTGGAATTAATCATGGAGCCCTTTAACTGAGTAGCTATTGGGATGAAGGTTGATGAAAAGTTGTTTTTTGTGTATTTTTGCATTTTCCACATTATAAAAAGGTATGATGTTGTCATCAGCTGGGTGTATGGTTAATAGGTGGATGGTGGTGTCTCACAAATATGTTTCTTGATGTGAACATTTTATATATCAAAACACCAGAGGATTACCTTGAAAACAGACTATATGAGATTTAAATTGGTGATGCTGTAATACAATTATCATACCCAGATCCAAAGTACCGAATTAAAGCAATTCACAGTATCATTCAAAGTTTCATGCAATTAAAGTAATGTTATCTTTATATCTTATGCCTGATTCATTTACATAATGCGCCTTTGTGAACTATGTTTGGTGGTCAGTGTCTGTAACAAATGGCAGGTGGTGGTGACATTTTGCATGTTAATACCTTGTTTATTTTTTAAAGGATCTACAGGGGGAGGAAAAACCTGGAACATAGAGCATTATGTCGAAGAGAAAAAGAAAAGTGGGGACATAGATGGCGACACTTGGATGTTTGCTGCATCAACAAAGGACAATCTTGTGGACAGTATACGTTTATATATGGAATACATCAATTCACCATCTACTAAGCAGTCTGAACAAAACCCATTGAAAAAGTTAAAAGAATGTTTAGCTAAGCGAAAGGGTAAGCATTTGATTGTATTTGATGACACTCTGAGCAAAAATTTATACGGTGATATCTTTGGTGCATTTTCATCAGTAAGCAATGTCACAGTTATTTTAACAACACAAGATAGTAAACCATACATATGTAAAGATATACTACAAGTAGGTCCAATGCTACCTGATGAGGGAAAACAGTTGTTTCTGGAAATCCTTGAAGACTCTTATAATGTGATGAATGAAATCCATCTACCTATCAAAGACAAGGATTTAGAGGCCCTTCTTGTGGAAATAGATTATTGTCCAAGTGCCATAACTTTATCTGCTTATAACATGGCTCATTCAAGAGTGTCTATACAGAAGTATACTGAAGATGTGAAACAAAAAGGAAAACACCTTGATAATGATGAACTCTTGCCTGCAGGTCCATTAGAAACACACAAAATCAATATTAAAAATCTGAAAGAAGAAATGGAAGCTGCATATCCAAATATTAGTACATCAGTACTCCAAATATGTGGTTTTTTATACAAGAGAAAGATTCCTCTGTTCATTTTACAGCTAGTCATGGAACAGGAGAAAGTAGATGAAGATGACATAACTGAGTATATTGATAAGCTAATTGATAAGATGCAACGTAGGTCGCTAGGGACTTTGTCCACTGATGGTACTGAGGAGGAAAGATTTCTCAATACACAGGGATTGTTTCAAATAGCTTTGCGCTCGGAAATGACAAATACAGAGAAGTGTGATGTAATTCAAAAGCTTATGGCTGCCTTGGTGTGTTATCTAGGCAAAGATGCCCCTGCTGTGTTTGGGAATGTAAAAATGATGACATTGCTCGTACCACACGTTAAGTCAGTTCTTGATCATGCAAATGCAAAGGGATTGAAACACGATCACCTCGGTATTGTCCTGATGGAAATACGCCTGTATGATGTATTGGGATACATTTATAGTGTGCAATCAAGTGATTATGAGTTGGCATGTGAAACCTATGAAAAATGCTTGAACCGATTTTACAAAAAAGTTCTCCAAATTGATAATCAGAAAAGGTTTGATCATGACATAATCACAAATCTTAGGCGCCAAAAGCAGACGGCACAGTGTACAGCCCCATGCAATGTAGACAACAGTTTTATTAAGGAGAAGGCAAAGCTTTTGACCCGAAAACTATCAGATGTCACACGTGAAATTAACGACGATAGAATTGTTAGTCGACTATCAAAAGAAGAACTAGAAGAAAATATCACCAATAAGGTGCTTACAAAACATGATGTGGAAATAATGGAGAAAAAATGTGCACGCGAGAATGACAAAACAGACCGATATTGTGAAGTACCAAAATGTCTTCAGAGAAACAGAATCAACAAAGAGATATATTTGGAATTAGTTGAATCAAATTTGGCTATGCCCCTCGTGAAAGCTTCCAAATTCTTCATTCATGAATTACTTGTGTCCATTTTGTACTCGTACGGCCGTCTTGCTTTCTACCCAAGTAATTGGCCACTAGAAAAAAAGGAAATGTTTCAGAATCTATTGAAACTGTCTATGAAGTTGTGTGAAATGCTTGCTGATGAAGGAGTACATATCTTGCATTATGTTCTCTGTGAGAGAAATGCATTATTGTACTACCTAAATAGTAAAACACATTTTGATGGAACTGAAAAATCAGAAAATGAATTTCGAGGTGATATGAAACAAGCTTTAGAAAAGTATAAGCAAATACTGTCTGATGAGAAATATAACAAAGAGTTCTTCCAGTATGGTATATTGAAGAAAACTGAAGACGATGCCTACCACAGAGACGTATGTCTTAAGCAATTAGCTAAAATACACACACATATTTTGGAAATGGATCATACAGAGGAGGACATTAAGGATGCTTTGAATACTTTGACCAAAATGGAAAATATTGAGAATCCTGACAAACGGTTCAAGCAAGCCATGGACAAACTACAAACTGTGATAAACTCAGAAACTACTAGGTCTAATGAGAAATAGAAAACACACACTGTACACCTCATAATAGATAGAGCCCAAAAAGTTACAGAAACTATTCAACCAATGGAAAATGATAAAGCACCACATTTTTTACATTTCACTCATAATTTATCTTGTCATGCATTATCAAAAATGTGTATAGTTTTGAACATTGTAGATGATTTTCAATTTGGTGTGCTAACTAGTGAATAATCTGCTATATTTGCTTACAAATGTTAATTCGTTTATCTTTCACGTTTCTATAAGGAGATATATGGAGATCACAATAATGGAAGAGTCTTAGACTCCTAGCAATGTTCAAAAGCCATAATAATTATTTCACTTTGACTACAGAATCTAGTGTATATAATTGTATATCTGACACAAAGAACAATAGAGAGTTTTTGGAATAGTTAATGTCCAAAACTTTTCAAGACAATATATACTTCAGATTCTTGCAATGAGATCATGTGATCTACGGTGCTGTGGAGTTTTTAAAAAACAATGAATGTTAAGACCTTTACATTTAGATACAATATTTGTGTTTTGATTGTAATTATCATTTGTAATTATTACATGAGGGTTCCACAACATTCAATGTATGCTTAAATATAATCTACTAATCTTCGAAATCTACTAAGTATAAGATAAATCAGTTATTAAATGCTCGATTTTTGATACAGGGTATATCCTTCGGTAAATACAATATATCAACCCTCAGATGTACCCTGTATCAAAAACCTCCCATTAAATAACCTATATATGCACCCTCTTATGGGTATCTAGTGCCAAATCTATGAATTTATGTTAGACAATAGTAAATAAATATACAGTATATATGTATAATATATAAAGTATGCTGAGTTCAATTTCAAATCACTTCACACTATTTTAGCATGTGGTAGTGAGATATACAGGGTGGGCAAAAAAAACGCCACTTTTTTTCAAAATGCTATAACCTTTTTAATTTTTGATACAAAATCATAATTCACATACCAAATGAAACTTGAGGTTGTTATCTAGCCATTGATCATGAATTATACACTTTTACTTGAATAAAATATGTCACCAGCGTCTCACTTAAACATGTGGTGTGCCATGAGAAATAAGCATAATTTGCATAATGTTCCTAAACTGATACGCCCTGATGACCACAAGCTAATAGCCTTTATTCAAACCCAAGTGAGTATAGGGCATGGGGAGGTCTCCAGGAGATGGTATGAAGGCACCCGATCTAAAAAATTGCTTAACTAAAGCTGGCAATTAAGACACATTGAAAAAAATATAGCTAACATTTTATTGATACTGCTATATCAGCAAGGTGACTAAAACTAGAATCTATCATCAAATGGGGTGGCGGACCAATTGAACTCCTCTTTTTAGATCAAATATAATCCCAGTTGAAGGACCCGTTACATTATATTATTACTAAGAACCCTTGGCACTATATAACAGCAAAATTTTGGGTATGTAGGTTGGAAAATAAAAAAGTTAGTGTCTTGAAAAAAAAGTGGCGTTTTCTTTTGGCCCACCCTGTATAGATGGAGATATATGCAATATGATACCAAGTGCAAAAGATCTTATTTTTGAATTGCTTGCACACTAAAAGCTCAGAATGTCAATATATATTACAATTAAATGCTTGTACCTTTGAAAGATGTGTTTGTGAAATACAGGCTTTCTCTGACATATTTTTGTATTTTTCTCACATCATTGAATTACATGTACTTATATTACCATGTTATGCTTCTGATGTACATATGTTTCAATATCTGATGCAGAAAACTTTCAGTTATATATTTTTCCTTGCATCGCATCAGGGTTAATTAATTTGTCTAAATGTCAGATTGTTTCATGTGATGTGATTTTATAAGGACTGTATTTTCAAAGATTTTAGTAAAATATACATACAATTATACATGTACTGCACATGAATATTTTATGACAACTGGTAATTAATTGCAGTATTTATCAAATTCCATGAAATTTCAAAATGGATCTTTTGTTTACTTTCGATCCAAATGAGATTCATGGCATGTAAACAGGTTTCTGTACAGTTTTTATTTTTCAAAATATGCATGAATACTTCCAGTTTTGTCCATATTGAAAATTTGTTTCTACAAGGGGCTTCAATGCTTCATAGAAAATAACTTGTGAAAGATGCACAGGTGTTCACTAAAATGTAAATAAACAGTTGGATGTTATTCTCATTTGTATATCAAACGTATTCCCTGTTTGAGCTAATTGACCAAGAAACTATTTATTGTGGACAAAAAGACCAGGAATGGTGGTTGCCTGGTTGGTATGGCATATGATTTTAGAAAGTCCTATATTTACCATGAATAATTTGTCACAATAAATTCAACATGTCTCATCAAAATAATTTTTTTTTCCAAATTTTAGCTTTATATTTTGTTATGTCATCCACACACATGTATCAGAGTGACTTATGAAATTATAAAACTTGAATTGCACATGTACAAGCAAATAACAGCAATTAAGTTCCACATTTTGCACTTGTTGCATGTGCCAGTATGTCCATGTGCGTCATACATGATTATATATAGAGCAATTAACACTAATTTACATCATTTGCACCTCACAGATGCCATATTTTTTTATATACAGTATACACAAAAACTGTTTGATTGCGTCATGTGTAAACATGTATGTATAATACATAATGTAATTCATGGAGTTTGGCATCGGGATATAATTGGAAATAATGTTTGAGAAATACATTCAGCCCAGTTTTACTAAAGAGTTAGTTGGGAGAATCAAAGGAAAATTAATCAAGGGGTCATTGATCTTCTAGAATCTCTACAGCAACAGGTAAGATTAATATTAATCGTATACCATTGTTAATTACAATTTATTCCATAATACTACTGTTTTCCCTGGGAAATAAAATCATATTATCCCTCTTAAAATCATATATACTCTAAAAATCATATTGTCCCTGGAAAAAAAAAATCATATATACTCGAAAAATCATATTGTCCCTATTTTTTTCAAAAAAGGTAATTTTTTCAAAAAATCATTTTTTTCCAATTTTCGAAAAATTAATTTTTTTCAGAAATTTTCATTTTTTCAAAAAATTGCAATTTTTCAAAGATTTTCATTTATTTCAACAATTTTCTTTTTGAATCATTTCAAACATTTTCATATTTTCAAAAATTTTCATTTTTTCAATTTTTTTTAATATATCTTTTTCCTTGAATTATCTTACGCTCGTTTGGTAAATATCATATTTCCCTCGATCGGTCAATATCATATTACCCTGGAATAAAATTCATATTGAAAATCAAGCATGAAATAACCTATTACTCTAGTAGCTCATGCTGGTTGAGTATGCACTTCTATGTCCAGAGATTTTCTCTTCAGAAATCATCTATGTGAAGGTCATTGATCAATTTTGGCTTGGTAACATATTTGCCACTGAAGGCGAAATAGGTCAAATGGCCACGCCCTTTTTTACGCAAATACTCCCCCCCCCCATTTTTGCATCTCCGGAACCGTTGGACATAGAAGGTTGTGTGACCACTCAAAATGTCGGGGATGGCCACATTATAGGGGGTCAATAATACATTTGTATTTAAAAAAGTCAATGGTTCTCAAGATATTTCCCAAAAACTGATTTTAGAATGAAAACTCCACTATTTTCTCCTTTGATCCTGTCCCTAGCTCCGATTTCGTTACTCGGCTGGGAAAAAAGGTTTGTTGGTATCATTTTGTTTCAGACACTCTCTAGAATAAATTCATCTTGGGTGGAATAAAAATGTGTGGTAAACGAATTCGCTATGGGCAGTTAAAGAGGCGCCATCTATTCATTTTCAAACAGGGGGTAGGGGTATAAAATATTTTTTAACACATTTTAATAGCAAAATGACATTGAAATACTAATAAAATCTTATCAAAAACATTATTACTCTAGTAGCTCATGCTGGTTGAGTATGCACTTCTATGTCCAGAGATTTTCTCTTCAGAAATCATCTATGTGAAGGTCATTGATCAATTTTGGCTTGGTAACATATTTGCCACTGAAGGCGAAATAGGTCAAATGGCCACGCCCTTTTTTACGCAAATACTCCCCCCCCCATTTTTGCATCTCCGGAACCGTTGGACATAGAAGGTTGTGTGACCACTCAAAATGTCTGGAATGGCCACATTATAGGGGGTCAATAATACATTTGTATTTACAAAAGTCAATGGTTCTCAAGATATTTCCCAAAAACTGATTTTAGAATGAAAACTCCACTATTTTCTCCTTTGATCCTGTCCCTAGCTCCGATTTCGTTACTCGGCTGGGAAAAAAGGTTTGTTGGTATCATTTTGTTCCAGACACTCTCTAGAATAAATTCATCTTGGGTGGAATAAAAATGTGCGGTAAACGAATTCGCTATGGGCAGTTAAAGAGGCGCCATCTATTCATTTTCAAACAGGGGGTAGGGGTATAAAATAATTTTTTAACACATTTTAATAGTAAAATGACATTGAAATACTAATAAAATCTTATCAAAAACATTATTTACAATCAGTATGAATTTTCTTGTGTGGATTAGGGTGAAAATAAGGGCATATCTTGAAATTCACTACAGGGGCGCCACCTATTTCTGTACGTGTAATAACTTATTTTAGATTCGTTAAGGTACGAAATGTACTGAAAAAATTCATTCTGAAGGACCTATACATGTTCATACCACATACTTAAAATTAGATCAATAGCTTATGTACCAGCGGAGAAAAAATTTATTGAAATTTAAAATTGTGGTATCATGCAGGATAGGGGTGACCATATCTCACATTATTAACTTCCAAAATATGGAGCATATGCATCTCAAATGTGCTCAAATGTTGTATGTACTCTTGCTTTGTCATAATATTACTAATAAGAAGTAGAAAAAATTGATTGTACATTTTAGAAATATTAATTCTCATTTTGGCTTCTGACGTCCCAGGGGTGACCATATGTCACCTTAATAACTTCCAAAATATGGAGCATATGTATCTCAAATGTGCTCAAAATGGTGTATGTACTCTTGCTTTGTCATAATATTAGTAATAAGAAGTAAGAAAATGATTGTACATTTAAAAAAATATTAATTCACATTTTGGCTTCTGACGTCCCAGGGGTGACCATATGTCACCTTAATAACTTCCAAAATATGGAGCATATGTATCTCAAATGTGCTCAAAATGGTGTATGTACTCTTGCTTTGTCATAATATTAGTAATAAGAAGTAGAAAAATGATTGTACATTTTAGAAATTATTAATTCTCATTTTGGCTTCTGATGTCCCAGGGGTGACCATATGTCACCTTAATAACTTCCAAAATATGGAGCATATGTATCTCAAATGTGGTCAAAATGGTGTATGTACTCTTGCTTTGTCATAATATTAGTAATAAGAAGTAGAAAAATGATTGTACATTTTAGAAATTATTAATTCTCATTTTGGCTTCTGACGTCCCAGGGGTGACCATATGTCACCTTAATAACTTCCAAAATATGGAGCATATGTATCTCAAATAAACTCAAAATGGTGTATGTACTCTTGCTTTGTCATAATATTATACTAATAAGATGTAGGAATATGATTATACATTTAAAAAAATTTAATTTTCAACTCAACAACCAAAAAAGTTTGTTTCCTTCGCTGATCTGACAAGATAGAGGCTGCGGATTCAGTCTTAAATGATGCAGGATAGATGAAAACTGTTGTGCGTAACATGCTAAAATCAGTTTTTGGCAAATATCTTGAGAACCTTTGACTTTTTTAAATACATATGTATTATTGACCCCCTATAATGTGGCCATTCCGGACATTTTGAGTGGTCACACAACCTTCCAGCGTAAAAAAGGGCGTGGCCATTTGACCTATTTCGCCCTCAGTGGCAAATATGTTACCAAGCCAAAATTGATCAATGACCTTCACATAGATGATTTCTGAAGAGAAAATCTCTGGACTTAATTTTTTTCTCCGCTGGTACATAAGCTATTAATCTAATTTTAAGTATGTGGTATGAACATGTATAGGTCCTTCAGAATGAATTTTTTCAGTACATTTCGTACCTTAACGAATCTAAACAAGTTAGTACACGTACAGAAATAGGTGGCGCCCCAGTAGTGAATTTCAAGATATGCCCTTATTTTCACCCTAATCCACACAAGAAAATTCATACTGATTGTAAATAATGTTTTGATAAGATTTTATTAGTATTTCAATGTCATTTTACTATTAAAATGTGTTAAAAAATTATTTTATACCCCTACCCCCTGTTTGAAAATGAATAGATGGCGCCTCTTTAACTGCCCATAGCGAATTCGTTTACCGCACATTTTTATTCCACCCAAGATGAATTTATTCTAGAGAGTGTCTGGAACAAAATGATACCAACAAACCTTTTTTCCCAGCCGAGTAACGAAATCGGAGCTAGGGACAGGATCAAAGGAGAAAATAGTGGAGTTTTCATTCTAAAATCAGTTTTTGGGAAATATCTTGAGAACCATTGACTTTTTTAGATACAAATGTATTATTGACCCCCTATAATGTGGCCATTCCGGACATTTTGAGTGGTCACACAACCTTCTATGTCCAACGGTTCCGGAGATGCAAAAATGGGGGGGGTGAGTATTTGCGTAAAAAAAGGGCGTGGCCATTTGACCTATTTCGCCTTCAGTGGCAAATATGTTACCAAGCCAAAATTGATCAATGACCTTCACATAGATGATTTCTGAAGAGAAAATCTCTGGACATAGAAGTGCATACTCAACCAGCATGAGCTACTAGAGTATATATATATTTGATGAGTTTATTCTTAAGACTTTTAATGTCATGAAGAAAATGTTTGTATTATTCATATAGTACTGTATTGCTGTACTCATTAACAAATAAATGCAATATCATCAATATTAAAGCATGGGTGGAGTTGCTATGAAGCAGGTGAGGCGACTACCTTGCCAGATATTATTGTTAGATTTTTTTTAATGAAAGTTATGGCCCACAAAGAAAGGTGTAGTAACCTTTTAACTTAAAGCTATGCCTCATCTATTTAGGGATATCTCCTTTCCATTTTTGCCAGATAAGTTATAAAAAATCCTGTAATAAAGTCAGAACTGTTGGACCTTTTAGAAAATAGGGATAACATGGAATTATAAGCAAAAATATTCAAAATTTTTTTCATTTTTTGTTTTTTATAGAAATCTACAAAAAAATTTTAGAAATTTTAAAAACATTTTGAAAAAAATTAAAAAAAAATTGAAAAAAATCGAAACCATCAAACATCAACATCAACCATCGAATATTATCTTTTAAAAAGTAATATTCGATTGTTTCAAAGTGATATTCGATGGTTTCAAAAGTGATATTCGATGGTTTGGGGATTTTTTGCTGAAATATGATATCTTGATCCAAATATATGATATATATATATCAAATATATCTTCACGTGATATTCTATCTATCCTTCTGACCATGGGATAATTATAGGATATCCTATGATTTTGAGGAATATCATTTTTATCTAAGAGGTGATATTGATATCTGCACGAGAGAGCAAAGCGAACGAGTGCATATATCAATATCACCGAGTAGATTAAAATGATATTCTGAAAAAAAATCATAGGATGTTCTTATTATCCTACACTTACAAGGAGTGTACTAAATATATAATATCATTGCATAATGAATTTCATGCCAAATAGAGTCAAATTGGTGGGAAATCAGCAAGTGGAGTATATCGTCACAATATCTGTCAGATATTGGGTTTTCCGTAGTATATCGTCACGATATCCTCCGCCCGGAGTATATCATCATGATATCCTCTGGTTATTCATCTTGCCAATAGATATCAAATTTATTTTTTAATGTTATTATACATTTAGTACACTAAGTGTAGCATGATATAGAAATTTCCTATGGTTTTGAAAAAATATCATTTTTTTCAAAAATTGTAACCATCGAATATCACTGAAACCATCAAATATCACTTTTTAAGAAGTGATATTCGATGGTTTGGAATTTTTGCTAAAACATGATATCTTGATCCACATATCAAATATCACTTTACTATCTTTCAACATGGGATAATAAAATTTATTTTATTGATGTTTCAGCACAAGCCTAAATATGCGGCTGTTGTTAGTGATGAGTGTGACACTACTCTGTATTGTGATGCCACTGCATGCCCAGAAAGGCAGTGGTGGTAGGGGCGGAGGTGGAAGAGGAGGAAATGGTGGAGGTGGAAGAGGAGGAAAAGGTGGCCGTCGTACCTCAGTCCCTTCTCAGCCATCAACCCCTGGTACAACTCCTGAGGAAATTGTGACAACCACTGTAAAAATTGTGACAACCACTGAAGAAATTGTGACAACCCAGCCTTTAACTACTGGTACAACTCCTGAAGAAATTGTGACAACCACTGATGAAATTATCACAATCCCTGAGGAAATTGAGACAACCCCTAAAGAAATTGTGACAACCACTGATGAAATTGTCACAACTCCAGAGGAAATTGAGACAACCCCTGAGGAAATTGTGACAACCACTGATGAAATTGTCACAACCCCTGAATCTACAACCAGTGGACCATCATTTCCCCAACTTACATCAGCACAAGTTACTGCAATGAAGGACTCTATCAATGTACTTCTTGATGCTAATGCCAATGTTGATGGGAATGGACCGAACCTGATAGCTGGCCTCGTTCGACTTGCCTTCCATGACTGCGTAGGTGGATGTGATGGTTGTATTAATTTGGACAATCCTGAAAATGTAGGTCTAGATGAATATATCAATATGATAGATGAAGCTTTTATTGTCTACAGTGATATTATAAGTCGCGCTGATTTCTGGGCACTGGCTTCGATCACTGCCAATGAAAGAGCTGCTGAGGATTGCAGACCACGTGGCAGATGCACTCCAAGTATTCCAATGATTGAGTTCCAAACAGGACGTAGAGATTGTGCCACATCTCCCCTTTCTTCTGCTGAGCATATATTCCCAGATCCCCATGGAGGTCTGGACCCAACAGAGTCATTCTTTGCAAGTGTGTTTGGTTTTAATCGACGGGAAAGTGTCGCCATCCTTGGTGCCCATACTCTTGGTAGAGCACGTCGTCAAAACTCTGGCTTCCGTAATCCATGGGTCGGTCGTGAGAGAACTTTGGACAATGATTACTATCGGGAACTTCTTAATATTGATCGGAACTGGAATCAAGTTGATGTTGCCAATGGAAGAAATGGTGGTCCTAAATGGCAATGGGTACATGGAGATGGGAGACGATTAATGTTAAATGCTGACATGTGCCTTTTCAAGGAGATGGAACTCTCATCTGGAACTGGCGAGTCGGGTTGCCCATACAGTGGAACCAATGCTTGTCCCAATTCTGCTGCGGCAGGTATTGTGCAAGAATTCGCCAACGACAATGCCCTCTGGATTCAAGAATATGGCGCTGCTTTCCAAAAAATGATTGCAACTGGTTATACCTCTGATGACTTCACACCTATTGCACTTGAAGTTCCAGTTGATAATGGTAGTGGGGATAACCCTGGAGTGGATGATCCCATTAATCCTATAGGGATCAATCCTATATTTGAAGATGATATCGTCTGATTAAATGATGAAAAAAATAGATATTTAATCTAATATTGCATGACCTAGATTTGGGATTACGGAGGAATCATCATTTCAAGGGACCAATGCTGGGATATGTCATGCCGTTCTGAACTGAGTTTGGTGCAAAATTTTAAACATTTTGTGAAGAGAATAAAATAATTGAATTAAAATAATAAATTAGAAATTAAGATTGCTTGAACTCATCACTGTGCCTTATTATGAACACTGACAGATACCACTCATTTACCCCAAAATCTTGTCTGCACATTAATAGTGATACCATATATTAATAATATTAAGGAATTATTCATTATATCCTACAATTGAATAAATAATTGCATATTTTGCTATGCTTAGCTTGCTATATAGGTAATGGGTGGCATATGTTGATATGCAAAGTATACTATACAGGAAATGCAAGACAAGGGGCCAATATTGTTCACTCTATCCCCTGTTTTTGGTTCAGCTTATTTGTTTGAATTTGCCTTCTCAACAGTATAACAGGACATAGTGATAAATATTGCACTGGAAGAGCTGCCTTGTAAATCAGCCAACACATGCAATATCCTGGTCCAATCTTGGCTGATTTTGCAGCTTAGTATAAAACATTTCAATAATGAATTTATAACAATCATGTGCATTATAAGTACAAGATGACAACTCTAACTTTTCAAGTAATGATAATAAAGATGGGATGTAATTTTTTATTTATTTTATTATTTGATAATGTTTTTATAACATGATACTGCATAACACATCACATATAGCAATTAAAAAATTTCTACAAAATATGTACAAAACAAGATTAACCACATGATGCACTCCTAGATAGGCCTATACAAATCGTGATATCGCTTGACATAACATCTCATTTCATTAACTCTGACAAGACTTACTGAGCTTTTAAGATATTAGGGAGGTTAAGTTAGCACTCTTTTGAAGAATATGTGCATTATATGTGTTAAATTATGATCCTCTAAGCACTGTTTTCACCCTACTGGTTTTAGTTGCCCGATTGAGTGTATGATGGTTTGAGGAAAATAGTCGTAATAAGGTTCCCGTTTGAACCAATTAGAGAGGGGGACAACAATTCCCAAGGGTCATAATTTTACATGTTTACATTCAAGTTCTCGCAAATGCGCATTAACTTAATCTTTCTATTATATCACATGTAAACTTAACAAGTTCGCTAATCTGTCAAACAGAGTGTTTTGAGATCAACATAAATAGAGATAAGGTATATAGTACTAAGATACCAACATGCATTCTGATCGACTTCCATCCTAAAAACATTTGCACCAAGTCTGTACTCTCACTTTAAAAATCATACTTCCTATTACAGATACACATTTTTCAAATAAATAAAATATAGACATATGTTACAGATATCTTACACAAAATACATGTAAAATTGATCTTAACACAATTAGATAGATGTTACTTTTTTTGTTAAAAAACTAAAACATTTCATACTATTTAAAAGTACAAAGCATCAATGACTAGACTAGCTATATACTGTAGTTGATACTAATGTCCCTTAAATTCAAACACTGGAGACTAATATGGCTAGATTATCTACAATTATAAATCTGATTTATATGTCAATAGCTTAATGTTTTGTCCAGAAGCAGGGAACAACTGGTGGAATTGGAACATGTTTCAAGGATGAAAATGCACAGTATATACAGTTATATGCATACAATGTACCTTAAAATCATATGTTACACAAAGAAATCTTAAAATTAAGAGACATTAACTTAATGTAACCACAGGGCTAATGAGCTGTCCAGGACAGAGATATGAAAATGTTGATCCTCAACGATATATAGTTCCAAAGCACTGGAAACTATGTCATCAAAAGTATCATTATTGAACATTTTAAGTATCAAGAGACTGGATACATCTTAATGTTTCTATATAATCCAATTACTGCAGTTCTCCTTTGTTACTGTCCTTGATATCCATACTGCTGTTGATACCCATACTCATCCTGCATATTTCCATTCACATATCCTTTACCTCCATCATTACCATATATGGGGTTGCCATAGTTATCAACTGGCTGCCCATATTCATCTACTGGTTGGCCATCCATGATGAATCCCATGTTGGATTCGGGACGCTGATATGGGTCATAGTCATCGCCGTAGCTGAAATAGAACAACACTTATAATTTCTCTACTGTAATACTCACAGTCAGTTCTTGCTGGTCAACAGGTTGTAGCTAGAGTTGGATGAATCATAATGCTACACTTGGAACACATGTTTAAAAGCCTAGCAAACGTGTATTCCAGCCATGGCTGTGTATGAGTAATATCACCAGATTCAATAGGGAGTTGAAGAAAAACATTGCAAGCTTAAACTCCCTATTATCATATATTGAAAAGATTATGTCTACAAAATAAAAAATATACAAAATTTTGAAATCATTATGAATCGCTGATTTGTATGCATTGTTAAAAAACAAAAGGTGATAGCTGTGACCATTGTTCTAGTTTCAACTCACCCTGCATCATTATAAGATCCGTTAGGAGGCATCATAGCCCCATTATAGCCATCATGCTCCAGGTACTCTGGGGTAACATTGCCCTCCAACATACCACCATCATAACCATCTGAAACAAATGCTATAGGTTAAAAGAATTTATTACTTTGCCATTTGATATTTATTCAATACAACATTCTGATGCAAATCATAAAAAAATATGGACTGCACTTATTCTATGCTGATATAGAATTTGGCTATGTGATACACAATCTGTATCACACTCGGACATACTATTTATTACACATTGACATCCGGATCAAAGTTGTCATTTTTTAAATTGGCATTTCATGGTATATAGACTCTATGGCACTCTATTTTCCATATTGAGTTCAAATCATTGAATACCTTACAATATCTCAAATTTGAAAATCTACTGAAAATACAAAACAATTGTAGTAGTTGATAAAAGTCAAAGGAACAATCAACATTTATTGTAGTACTATTCTAGTAAATATCATATAAGTAACTCTAGATCCATATTCTGGATCAACAAGATGAAACATGTCCAACAATTCTAAAATTAAAACCACCAAAACGTAAATCAAATCCTACCTGGTCCTGTATCATAAAACAGATCTGGTCTATCTAGAATATCTGTGTCTTGAATGTACGATCCTATGCCTTCATCCCCATACATATAAGCCTCATTCTCATCCATTTGTCGTGACTCTACCATCTCAAGCCATTGGGAGTTGTGCCAGCGGAATTTCTCAAGTTGGATTTTCTTTGCCCATTCTTCATCATACTCCTAAAGGTAGAAGGAATAAATATGGATAGTGGATACGCTGTATTAAAGTGAATTAATACTAAATACAAGAGTAAAGGTTGTGACAAATATGGAAGTCAATCATAATTTATTTTTAAAATTGAGATGGGCAATTTCCTTTTGGACAGCATTTTTGTCACAAAGGATTAAAGGATGAGATTAATGTTTAAACATTTGATGTGGCAGATTCCAATGTTTGATGTCTTAAATCCTCCAAGCTTAAACTTTGTTTTGATGTTTTAATTCTACAAACATTAGGCTTGTGTTTGAAGCCTTTTGTCTGATAACAATGTTTTAAACTGTCTGATGTCAAAATATAGATGTTAAATATTTAATGACAATGTTTGATATTTTAAACTGTCTGATGTCAAAGTTTCTTTATAGTGTTTGAAGTTTTAAACTGCCTGATGTCAAAGTTTGTTTATACTGTCTAAACTGGTATAAATAGTGGTTCCCTGCTAGTTGAAGTCATTACTGATCTGACTTGCCAAGCAATCACATCACAACTCTAAACACACAAAACACAATGGATTCCTACTCTATGCAAGAATCTGAAGTATATGGAGTACCAGAGAGAGGACAACAGGCCGACCTGGAGCAAACCACTGAACAACTAGATGTTGCATACAGAAAGTTCCTCAGAGCATGTGATCAACTGCTGTTTATGGATGACCAAGCTAAAAATTTAGAGAGCCGCTACCAGAGAGCCAAGCAGAACAAAAGAAGGGCTCATCGCTACTCCCTGCGTCTACAGCTGTCCACGCTCAGCAACATGAAGATGATGTTCTACCACTATGCAACTGAGATGGCTGCTGTAGTTGAACAGCTAAAGAGCAAAGTTGACCAGATGGAGTCTCAAGATTCTGATGTTGAGTCTGAATATTCTTTCTACACTAATGATGAAGATGATGATGAGATTCAACAGTGAAGAAGTGATCAACATTTCTATATCCAAGCAACTCTCTAGCTTCTAGCTGAGAAGACAAGAAGCCTTTTCAGGTTTTATCTACATAAAAGGTCCTTTTCAGGACCATCACATTTTCACAAAAGTGAAATTAGTTGAATATGAATTCTGTTGTTTCTGCACATACCTGGTGCATATTGACATGATTAAATTATTTGATATTGATCATGTGAATGTGTGTTGGAATAATTTGATGAACCATAATTTCTTAATGACATGAATACCCATGAAGGGTCTTACAATGATTGGTATAATTCAAAGAGTATTTCTATATTCTTGCTTAAACTTGGTATACAGGTTAAACATTCAATTACTATTCAGATACAATGTACGCTGTGATAAATATCACTATTTTTATAGAAAAATGGCCACCATGTAATTGACCAAGCATAGCCAAAACCATATCAGACCTTGACAATAGTCTGCTCTTGGATCTGTAAAAATTAAACATGTGACTAATTTTCCTGGAATTGCAGAATTGAGATGACAAGGTTTATGTGATGCATGTCCAACCACCCAATCAAATGTACACCCATCACCCAAGATAACAACAATACAGCACTTTGAAAAATACTATAAAAATGCCCTAATTCTACATAATATATCATGTGTGCCATGATTGCTATAGCCACCTTAGGGTAAGGGGTTGTGGGGAGAATTTCATTCCTTATCCCATCATTACACAGATGACTTATTGAAAAAGAGAAAAACATAAATTGAGTAAATCTAATACACAGTTACATCACATAAGTATATCCTTGAAAGAATATATTGAGTTGTCTTATGATGTCATACGGTCACTTATTCAGTTAGAAAGATACAGCTTCCAGAATTTGTTTGAAATGGCAGCAATATTTGGTGTCATCAGACATTTTAAAACACCAAACATTAACATCAGTAAGCTTCAGACATCAAGATACAAAACTGCATTTGATGTCAATGTTTGATGCTTTAAACTGTCAAATTATAAAGATTGTTTTTGAAGTTTTAAACTCTAACATGTCTAATGACCATTAATAAGGTTGCTTTTGATGTTTTTACCTCAGTAATAGCAATGTTTGATGTTTTAAACTGTCAGATGTCAAATAATAAAGATTGCGTTTGATGTCACTATTTGATGTTTTAAACTGTGTAGATAAAAATGTATTTGATGTTTTAATCTGTGTGGTATCAATGTTTGATGTTTTAAACAGTCTGATGTTTTGTTTAATGACAATGGTTTTTGGTGAGTTTTAAGTCTTAAACTGACTGATGTCAAAGTTTGTACTAAGTGACACTAAATTCCTCTAAAATGGTATAAATATTGGTTCCATGCGAGTTGAAGTCATTATACTGATCTGACTTGCCTAGCAATCACATCACAACTCTAAACACACAAAACACAATGGATTCCTACTCTATGCAAGAATCTGAAGTTTATGGAGTACCAGAGACAGAACACCAGGTTGACTTGGAGCAAACCACTGAACAACTAGATGTTGCATACAGAAAGTTCCTCAGAGCATGTGACCAACTGCTGTTCATGGATGACCAAGCTAAAAATTTAGAGAGCCGCTACCAGAGAGCCAAGCAGAACAAGAGAGAGGCTCATCGCTACTCCCTGCGTCTACAGCTGTCCACGCTCAGCAACATGAAGATGATGTTTTACCACTATGCAACTGAGATGGCTGCTGTAGTTGAACAGCTAAAGAGCAAAGTTGACCAGATGGAGTCTCAAGATTCCAACGTTGAGTCTGAATATTCTTTCTACGCTAATGATGAAGATGATGATGAGATTCAACAGTGAAGAAGTGATCAACATTTCTATATCCAAACAGTTCTCTAGCTTCTAGCTGAGAAGAAAAGAAGCCTTTTCAGGTTTTATCTACAAAAAAGGTCCTTTTCAGGACCATCAAATTATCACAAAAGTGAAATTAGTTTAATATGAATTCTGTTGTTTGTGCACATACCTGGTGCATATTGATATGTTCAAATAATTTGATCATGTGAATGTGTGTTTGAATAATTTGATGAACCATAATTTCTTATTGACATGAATACCCACGAAGGGTCTTACAATGATTGGTATAATTCAAAGAGTATTTCTATATTCTTGCTTAAACTTGGTATACATGTTAAACATTCAATTACTATTCAGATACAATGCACGCTGTGATAAATATAACTATTTTTATAGAAAAATGGCCACCATGTAATTGACCAAGCATAGCCAAAAATATCAGACCTTGACAATAGTCTGCTCTTGGATCTGTAAAAATTAAACATGTGACCAATTTTCCTGGAATTGCAGAATTGAGATGACAAGGTTTATGCGATGCATGTCCAACCACCCAATCAAATGTACACCCATCACCCAAGATAACAACAATACAACACTTTAAAAAATACTATAAAAATGCCCTAATTCTGCATAATATATCATGGGTGCCATGATTGCTATAGTCACCTCAGGGTAAGGGGTTGTGGGGAGGATTTCATTCTCTATCCCATCATTACACTGATGACTTATTAAAAAAAGAGAAAAACATAAATTGAGTAAATCTAATATACAGTTACATCACATAAGTGTATCCTTGAAAGAGTATATTGAGTTGTCTTATGATGTCATACTGTTAGTTATTCAGTTAGAAAGATACAGCTTCCAGAATTTGTTTGAAATGGCAGCATCAGACATTTAAAACACCAAACATTAACACCAGTAAGCTTCAGACATCAAGATACAAAACTGCATTTGATGCCAATGTTTGATGCTTTAAACTTATAAAGATTGTTTTTGATATTTTTAACTCTAACATGTCTAATGGCCATTAATAAGGTTGCTTTTGATGTTTTAATCTCAGTGGTAGCAATGTTTGATGTTTTAAACTGTCAGATGTCAAATAATAAAGATTGCGTTTGATGTCACTATTTGATGTTTTAAACTGTGTAGATAAAAATGTTTTTGATGTTTTAATCTGTGTGGTATCAATGTTTGATGTTTTAAACTGTCTGATGTTGTGTTTAATGACAATGTTTTTTTGGTGAGTTTTAAGTCTTAAACTGACTGATGCCAAAGTTTTGACACTAACTTTCTCTAAACTGGTATAAATATTGGTTCCATGCTAGCTGAAGTCATTACTGATCTGACTTGCCAAGCAATCACATCACAACTCTTAACACACAAAACACAATGGATTCCTACTCTATGCAAGAATCTGAAGTATATGGAGTACCAGAGACAGAACACCAGGTTGGCTTGGAGCAAACCACTGAACAACTAGATGTTGCATACAGAAAGTTCCTCAGAGCATGTGACCAACTGCTGTTCATGGATGACCAAGCTAAAAATTTAGAGAGCCGCTACCAGAGAGCCAAGCAGAACAAGAGAGAGGCTCATCGCTACTCCCTGCGTCTACACTTGTCAACACTCAGCAACATGAAGATGATGTTTTACCACTATGCAACTGAGATGGCTGCTGTAGTTGAACAGCTAAAGAGCAAAGTTGACCAGATGGAGTCTCAAGATTCTGATGTTGAGTCTGAATATTCTTTCTACGCTAATGATGAAGATGATGATGAGATTCAACAGTGAAGAAGTGATCAACATTTCTATATCCAAGCAGTTCTCTAGCTTCTAGCTGAGAAGACAAGAAGTCTTTTCAGGTTTTATCTACATAAAAGGTCCTTTTCAGGACCATCAAATTATCACAAAAGTGAAATTAGTTAAATATGAATTCTGTTGTTTGTGCACATTACTGGTACATATTGACATGTTCAAATAATTTGATAATGATCATGTGAATGTGTGTGTTTGAATAATTTGATGAACCATAATTTCTTATTGACATGAATACCCACGAAGGGTCTTACAATGATTGGTATAATTCAAAGAGTATTTATATTTTTGCTTAAACTTGGTATACATATTAAACACTCAATTATTATTCAGATACAATGCACGCTGTGATAGATATCACACTTTTATTGAAAAATGCAAAATGGCCACCAGGTAATTGTCCAAGCATACCCAAAACCATATCAGACCTTGACAATAGTCTGCTCTTGGATCTGTAAAAATTAAACATGTGACTAATTTTCCTGGAATTGCAGAATTGAGATGACAAGGTTTATGTGATGCATGTCCAACCACAATCAAATGTACACCCATCACCCAAGATAACAACAATACAGCAGTTTGAAAAATACTATAAAAATGCCCTAATTCTACATAATATATCATGGGTGCCATGATTGCTATAGCCACCTTAGGGTAAGGGGTTGTGGGGAGAATTTCATTCCTTATCCCATCATTACACAGATGACTTATTGAAAAAGAGAAAAACATAAATTGAGTAAATCTAATACACAGTTACATCACATAAGTATATCCTTGAAAGAATATATTGAGTTGTCTTATGATGTCATACAGTCACTTATTCAGTTAGAAAGATACAGCTTCCAGAATTTGTTTGAAATGGCAGCAATATTTGGTGTCATCAGACATTTTAAAACACCAAACATTAACATCAGTAAGCTTCAGACATCAAGATACAAAACTGCATTTGATGTCAATGTTTGATGCTTTAAACTGTCAAATTATAAAGATTGTTTTTGATATTTTAAACTCTAACATGTCTAATCGCCATTAATAAGGTTGCTTTTGATGTTTTTACCTCAGAAATAGCAATGTTTGATGTTTTAAACTGTCAGATGTCAAATAATAAAGATTGTGTTTGATGTCACTATTTGATGTTTTAAACTGTGTAGATAAAAATGTTTTTGATGTTTTAATCTGTGTGGTATCAATGTTTGATGTTTTAAACAGTCTGATGTTCTGTTTAATGACAATGTTTTTTTGGTGAGTTTTAAGTCTTAAACTGACTGATGTCAAAGTTTGTACTAAGTGACACTAACTTCCTCTAAAATGGTATAAATATTGGTTCCATGCGAGTTGAAGTCATTATACTGATCTGACTTGCCAAGCAATCACATCACAACTCTAAACACACAAAACACAATGGACTCCTACTCTATGCAAGAATCTGAAGTTTATGGAGTACCAGAGACAGAACACCAGGCTGACTTGGAGCAAACCACTGAACAACTAGATGTTGCATACAGAAAGTTCCTCAGAGCATGTGACCAACTGCTGTTTATGGACGACAAAGCTAAGAATGTGGAGATCCGCTACCAACGAGCCAAGCAGAACAAGAGAGAGGCTCATCGCTACTCCCTGCGTCTACAGTTGTTAACACTCAGCAACATGAAGATGATGTTTTACCACTATGGAACTGAGATGGCTGCTGTAGTTGAACAGCTAAAGAGCAAAGTTGACCAGATGGAGTCTCAAGATTCCGACGTTGAGCCTGAATATTCTTTCTATGCTAATGATGAAGATCAAGATGAGATTCAACAGTGAAGAAGTGGTCAACATTATTGGCTCAAAGACTGCCCAGAGATCTTCCCTGAGTGGGATTAGAAGACAATACCTTTTCAGAGCACCAAACGGTCCTTTTAAGGACCATCAAATTCTTACAAAAGTGAAATTAATTTATGAAAACTGTTTTAATGATAGACAAAAGTATATGGCCGGACTCCCCCATTGTTTTGCTGATTTACTACTTGCCACAATCAACCTCACTGCAATCATTTTATACCAGGTCCATTTTCCATCAAACTTGACCAACTACTTTAGGGTGGATATCTTGCAAAAATCAAGTTGTCATGGTTACCAAAACCTTATACCTTATAGTTACCATGGCAACCATGAAAATGGAGTTAAAATGAGCAGAAAGCACCCAAAATCTACCATAATGGCACTAATTTTTTTAAATACAAATTTTTTAGACTTCTAGACAACAAAAATGGGGGTACGATTACCACTTTGATTTTTTACAAAGTGTTGTCAAAGTAAAACTTAAAAAAGCACTAATTTTGCAAAAGGCCATTTCTGCACTAGTTTCACAAAGTTTGATATTTTTACAATGGCAATAGTTCCATGCCTTTTAGCCCTTTTCACTCAATGTTATAATAACATCATCAAAATTAAATCACCTGTGCCAAGATAGAGTTAGAGACACAGAATTTGTGAGTGAAAAATGAATGTTTTAGGTAGACCTCTAGGTCCTTGATTTACCAGTACATACATAACTCAGTTTCAAACTGGAGAGGTGCTCAAACACTATTGTTTAGATAAGAATGCTTATTACACTAATAGTGCAAAGCAAGAACCACAAATTGTAACAAAATTAACTTACAGCAATTATATCGAGAGTGTTGTCACAAACTTTTCTTATCTCTGGGTTCTTATCATGCATAAGATCTATGAGGTAAGCAGGAGCCTCTGGTATATGGTTAAGGAATGGTTTCATATTATTCTAGAATTAGTTATATGATTCTTCCATGCATACAAAATCTCTGACCTATTACATTTCTATATAATATAGGATGTTGACAAGTAATTTTTGTAGAGATAATCTCTCTGCTACACATTTTGCTGACAAAGAGTAATTTTTGTGAGTATTCTAACTAAGAAGTAAGAAATGAGAATAAGTGTTTTAATCATGGATATAAACCTCATCATTAGAAAACAATACACTTACAAGTCTATTCGAGTTAAAGATTCTTGTGAAAATGCAACCCTGGTAAATGGCTCTTAAAATGGCAGACTAATCCAAGGCCTAAAGGCCAACGACCAAACTACCCTGGGTTGGTGCTGGTGCTTGGCCATGGCCATGCTTTCCATAGCCATAGTTGTCCTTATCAAAACCAATTTTAAAAGGATACGTGTATCTTTGATGATAATCTCACGGGTCGATTCATGGAAGATCATCTGGTAGAAGACGTAGACTATCTGACATACAACCTCATCATCTTCTTGCTTAGCTACAACATAGCAACCAGAAGAACTCTTCAAATGAAAAGATACATTAATCATAATCCAGTTGTTAGGTTTCATAATTTTCTACACAAAGTTTTAAATAAGAACTACAACCTAAGAGATGTGCATTTATATATTTGATTGAATATTTTTTAGTTTGTACCATATGAATGTTTATTTTCAATACATTTAAACTTTTATATGGTTTACATGAATTTGATCGTAAAGGGCTTACCATTAAGTAGTTCGATAAGGCTGTGAACGACCCCATTATCTGACAACATTTGTGCACATGAGTCATCATTACAAACTGTTCCTACAAGTATGATCACTTCTAACACAAGGTCATCTTCTGCATTACCTGAAATACAAAAATGACTTGTAGGTGAACCGGGGGTTCATTTCTGTAAACACTCTCAAATTCATTAAGTCTTTAACTATGATGTCACAGTTTCCATGGTAACAATAATGGATTTATAAATATTCACTGCTAAGAATGGTAAAAAAATGCACCTCAGGTTATTACTAACGAATCAAGAAACTATTGTAAGGGGTCAGTTTCACCAAACTACTTAAATTAGTGAGGGTAGAAAATCAATCAAATATGACAAATGTCACCATTTGTTATTGTAATGTTAAGTGTAAGATCTCGTTACGAATGGACGCTGATGTCAACCACAAAATATTGTAGCTAAATATTCCACCACTTATTGGTGGTGACATAAAACATTGTAAACTGAGAAACAATGATATAGCACATGGGATACAAGTGCTCATCTAAATGTGTCTAAATCATACCAGGTTGCAGTTTGTCTTTGATCCAGGGGACAATCTTGTACTCTTGTAGGATGAGTTCATAGTCAAGGTCCTCCATTGTGAGATTAGCCAGTATTCCTATGCATTCTATCATGAAATCTTCATCCTCTACTTTGCTTACTATCGTCTCACAAAGTTGCGGAATGTAGTCCTATTAAAAGTATTTGATTTATCATGTATATGTATGAAATACAGTCACAAATAATCAAAACCTTGTCTTTAAGTTTAGGAAAATATTCCAAGGAAAATTTTTTTAATATACACTTGTATGTTTACAAAAAGAGCACTACAAGAATGAAAAATAGCCAAGTAGTCCAAAGATATATTACTGAGCATAAAGAACAAATCACTCCTATTCACAGCATGATCCCTCTCCAACATAGAACATAGAAAAATAGGTATGGCACTTTCAAAGGTACTATTGGAGTAAAAATTGCACCTCATGAAAAATACAAATTAGTTCCCCAGTTATAATGAAATTATCCACATACCAAAAATAATTCCTTTGTTGGACCATCATGCTGAGAAATATTTCTAGCCATCTTCAGCAACAATGGATCCTTCAGTTTGAATGCACGTTTCATAATCATCTTCATGCCACTGCCTTCACATATGATCTGAGCGTTACGTTTGTTGGAGGCCAAGTTGATACACAGAGCAATTACTTCTAGTTCCACATGGTTACCTTCACTTTCCAAGAGCATCTTCATTACCTGTAAAAGCATAATTGATGTTAATACAACATAGCCTTAGCCTGTAGACTTCTCAAGTGCTAATCAATTGCATGGAGCAAAAAATAATGTGAACACTTGGAGCGCTGTACATGTACTTGCACACAAAACTACATCTTACTTTGGATGCAAAGGTGTTCTTTTTAAACAGGTTTTACTACAGTTGAATGAGTCACATTTTATGAGCCTTCTGAAATTTATTGGGGGTTACATGGATTTCACATTTTATGAGCCTACTGAAATTGATTGGAGGTTATATGGATTTCACATTTTACAGATATCATAAAATGTACACAATGTAGATATACTTACTATTGGTATGCAGTCAGTAAAAGTGAACATAGATTTACATTTCTCATCTGTACTGATGTGATACAGGATACAAAGCACAATGATTCTGTGGTTCTCATTACCTGAAAAAAAAGCAAAATCAGAAGAGATGATATACAAGGCATTATCATGCAAAATGTCATCACTTGCTATTTGTTTCAGATGCCGAATGCCAAAAACCAACTGCCGAACACCATCCACAAAAAAGTTGAAGACTAACAATATGCAAAGAGGTCAATATACAAGTTTGTTTTACTAATCAAGTTACAATGTGTGTGTGTTTAATTTCACAACTTTCCTACATTTACCCAACAATTTATTTTGAGGTTAATTTAATATCTAAAAAATCACCTACTTAATAATCCAACAAGTTTTGGTAACATTCCTAGTTTAACCATTCTGCTCCTCAGCTCTGAGTCGAATGATAGGTTGAGAAGGAGACGTAAGGTGACGTTTAACAGATCTTCATGATTGCACGGGACAATTTTTGTCAGCTTTTCTATTATATTTTGCTCCAACTGAAAAATGTTATCCATGAAAATTTATGCATGACTTTACAGATTACTCCAGAACTGTTACAGAAATATAAAATGAATAATTGAGACTTGACTTGTTTTGATCTTATACCAAGTTTTAAAATGTTCTCCCCAAAGATCCAATGTTTTTTAAATCCTCAATTGGGAGTTATGCTTAGTTGGCTACATTTACATGGCATAACAAGCAGCTAATTACCTCATGAGATTTTTTAAAAATACCAAAAACACAGGGTGTATAAATACAAGGAATTGGCAAGATTCCACAAACCAGACGTATATATGTATTTTGTTTATATTGGAGTTAGGGACAGCATTATTAACATTAATATCCATTTTAAACCTCAAATTCTCACAATTCACCATTTTGATATCAGTATTTACTTCACCTACCATTTCATCTTTGTTTTCAGAAAATATTGACAGCTTCTTAAGGAATGAAACCACTAAGATGAGTAGCTCAAAGTTATCTCTCTCCAATGATTTCACAAGCATTGTGACAACACTCTTGTTCCTCATTTTCACCTCAACCTTCAGATCTTCAGCTAGGTTCAGTAGTAAATAGTATGACACTGGAACACACACAAAAACTATGGTATAATATGACAGGAGCATTCTGCACCTTATCAAAATAAATTGTATTTATGTTATTTCAATTCAATTTTTGACATCAGTGGTGAATTTAAAAATGGTGCACAACAAAATAAATTATTAAAAAAACACATTATATTTCAAAATATGTAGATGGTCAATAAATTAATATACCTCGTAAAAGCTGTTCTTGTTTCCTTAGCAACCCTTGCATCTTTTTGTTACTTTTATCAAAGTCTTTTTTTAATTGTCCATTTTGTCTATCGGCATCTAAAGCTGCCTTTTTCTTTTGAATTTCCTGTTTCCAAATGTCATATTTTTTCAGTTCATGCTCCACAATTTGCATACACAGCGCTCCAACACGAAAATGAGATATGACTCCATGAAACTGAGAGAAACTTGAGAAGCAGAAAAATATGTAAATAATGTTTGTTGCTAGCTCTGTGCTTTTCTTCCAATCATCTTTGAGGACTCTCGCCAAGGCTTGGACAACAGTCTCTGGAAATGAACACAAAGAAAAAATATAAGCAAAAAGTGACAAAACATGGTTTGTAAAGAAAAATGGATGCAAAAAGTATGAAAGTGAAAATTACAGAAACTTTTATACAGAGCACCCTTGCCTATCAGTAAGGAAGAGAATTATAAATTAAGATATGAAACTGATCAATCAGAATTAAGTTTGTAACGTACAATTTTTGCAAATCATTTATACTGAACATAACATGTAATAAAAAGAGATGTGAACATTAATTTTAATAATATCTAGTTTTCAACATGAAAAAAACTGGGCATATGGTACATGTACAAATTTCTGAACTGTATACAAAAAAATTGAATCATAAAATGTAAAATCCATACCATTCTGAAAAAGTTCCTCTAAATTATCAGGGTTGCGAGCCAGTTGTAACAAAAGAGCAGATCCTTTTAATTTCTCTGGAATGTCCTCATATAAAAGTTCTAAGTAATCTTCCACATCATTTATATTTGCCACCTCGTCAATCTCTGTACCATCATAGACGCCAGGATCCATTGGACGCTCTGACAGTTGTTGGCGTGGCTTCCCATCTAAAACAATTTATTTTAATAAATTTGTACTTCATAACATTTTTTATTACAAAACAAAGCTTTTGATAATGTTAGCACAAAATTTTGGCTCTGTGTTTTTGTGGAAAAATTAATACTTTAAACTATGAAAAATTACTATCAAATGTTTTGATGCATGAATGAAATAATGGAATTTCTTATTTGAAGCTGGAAAGCAAATATTTTACAGTAAAAACTTCAAACAAGTTATTGAAAGCTGTGCCTCATACACATTAATACAATGTACCTTGATAATCTACCAGTGCAGTAAGATATATTCTATGTCTTTCAAACATCTTCTGTTATCTCATTCAGAAAAACAAATTTTCAGATTTTACTATAATACTTCTTGAATCCAAAACATCAGGTAGAATCTGATAGAACACAGATGAGACATTATGATGTCACTCAAAAGTAGTTTTTTCATTTCCTTTATATGACATCACAAACAAACAATGAGTTATGAAGGAAATATGACTTTGACAAGCTGTAGCTTTGACAGGCTGTATACTATAAAATAATAGGGTGTTCTGAGTATTGAAATATTTCCTTACCATTCCCTTGCTGGGTGTTGTTGTCTTTTCTATTTTGTAGATAGTACAATAGTTGCTCAACTTCTGGTAACTTTGATGGGTGAATCAGTTTACATCTATCTACAATTTCTTTAGCCAAACTTGCAACATTTGTGTTATTGTTCAAGCTCTTCACACGGATTCTGAAATATCAGCAATTGTCAGAGAAATTAATAAACGATCCATCCAGTTTCTAGATGGGTGTTCCAAATGTGTTTGTTCTCCCTCTCTATTTTTAAATCGTTTGAATATACAAAAAAAGGGAGTGAACAGGACACCCAACTTAAATAAAATTCTAAAATTGATAAAATCTAAATATATAATCTAACAAGGCATTAACATGACAAAATGTCACCACCTAAAACAATTTGGTCAATTTAAAGCAAGTTGGAAAATACCTTTTGACCTTAAGAAGGTTTTTGAAGATTTGAGCTTCTGGGATCTTGTAGATGATTTTGAAAAAAGAAATTGTTCAATCTGAAGCAAGTTGAAAAATACCTCTTTGACTTTTTTTGACATTGAGAAGGTCATTGAAGGTCAAATGTCAAATGTAAAGTCAGATTTGAACTTCTGAGAACATGTAGATGATTTTGAAAAAAAAATTAAGTAAATTTGAAGCAAGTTGAAAAAAGACCTTTTTGACCTTGAAAAGGTCATTGAAGGTCAAATGTCAAATCTAAAGTCAGATTTGAATTTCTGAGAACATGTAGATGATTTTGAAAAAAGGATTAGTCAATTTGAAGCAAGTTGAAAAAAGACCTTTTTGACCTTTTTTGACCTTGAGAAGGTCATTGAAGGTCAAATGTCAAATCTTAAGTCAGATTTGAATTTCTGAGAACACGTAGATGATTTTGAAAAAAAAATTTAGTCAATTTGAAGCAACTTGAAAACAGACCTTTTTGACCTTTTTTGACCTTGAGAAGGTCATTGAAGGTCAAATGTCAAATCTTAAGTCAGATTTGAAGGTCAAATGTCAAATCTAAAGTCAAATCTAAAGTTAGATTTGAATTTCTGAGAACATGTAGATGATTTTGAAAAAAAATTTAGTCAATGTGAAGCAAGTTGAAAAAAGACCTTTTTGACCTTGAGAAGGTCATTGAAGGTCAAATGTCAAATCTAAAGTCAGATTTGAACTTCTGAGAACATGTAGATGATTTAGAAAAAAATTGAAGTCAGTCTAAACAGTATTTGTTAAGTTATAGGAAGTTGTAAGAAATTGTTACAGACGCCGGACGCCGGATGCCAACCTCCAACCACCAACCGCCGTCGCAAAAAAACGGAGACCATAACAATATGTCACCACTTTTGGTGGTGACATAATAAAAATCACTAGAGCCCTAAGCTATGTGTGAATTCAATGCAATCAGACATCCTTACAAAAATGAAGACAGTGGATCTAGATTTTCTTAACATTAAATTTAATACCTTTACCTATTGCATTTATTCTACCAGATTTCTAATTGATTAGAAACTATATTATCTCTCTCTCTTGTTTACTCTCTGACAGATATAGAAACTGACTACTCAAGAAAAAGTTTAGAATTAGCATGAATTGTGTGTTGCCAGGTTTTACTTACATTTTTTGGCACTCCTTTCTCTCTCCCAGCATGGGGTCTCCCATCTCACCCAGGATTGTTGCTTCAAGCTCATAGTTAACAACCAAGGCCTTCTCTGTAGGATGAACATCAATGCTACCACCTTTCACCTTCCTATTTAACATAATTGATAAGAAATTATTATCATGAATCAATTTGTATATTCTTAGATTTTCATCTCAATGATTTCGTCAAGAACTTAAGGGACATTCCTGGCCAGACCATTTCTATCCTGATATGATAGCTATAAACATATGTTTACTTTCCATAAATAGCAAAACACAAGAAAATGTCAATATTTATCGACTCAAATCATCAGAGTAAAACACACAAGTGGTAGCACAATGTGGAAAACAGCACCAGACTAAAAAATAAAGGTGGCATTAAAGCACCTCGAACACTTGGATTTAAACAACAAACAAACTTTCAGACAAAATTGTCAAATTTTAAATCAATCTTGAATTCTTTTAAAACTGAATCTCCTTGGCAAAAGCTTAAGTGACTGGGGATTTGGAGCTAGACAGACTCACAGAGAGTAGCCTAGCTAGCCTCGACTGAGATTAAGAGGAGGGAAAGCCTCAGAGCTTAGAGATAACAGACATGATTACGTCTCTTGCTTACATATTTACATGTACGTGTAGTATGTCACAGGGATTAAATGGGATTAAATACAAACATAAATCATTCAGTCTAACAACAAGATTGTTGGCTATCTTAAAGGAGCTTCTTAAAAGACTCTAAAATATTCTAAACATAAACTAACATTAGAATCTGTGTATATAAAGTGCATGGGAAATGCTGGACTTAAATTACTTAGGGAACTGTTACATTTTAACATTAATGTTTATGTTTTAGCTGCATCATGTGAGTGCATTAAAAAGCGATAGCGTCCAGTGATAAACTGCACCAAGTGTTCAGATTACAATTTTACAGTGTCTAGGATAAAGAAGAAGAAGAAGGGTCATTATATATTACTCAAGTCTCTAGCCAATACTTGGCTAGAAGTAATCTGGAACACTGTGAACTACATGTATTGTAATTTAATAAATTCAATAAATTTAAGTAATATTAAAGAGAGAATCAGATCTAGAGAGCAGGCTAAACATAAAATTGTTTCAATTTTAGAATATTTTTGGCTCATGTCATTCCTTGTCATGTCTATTTTCTAAAAATCACAAAAGTGCATACTTTATTCTAGGAAAACTAAAGATTTTTACAATAATGTATTATTTTTCTATAAGAATGGTTACCATTCTTATTATTTGGGAGAATTGAAACATTTTTCACTCATTTTTGCTCTTTGAATCAGTAATAACTTCACCAATTTATAACATATTGTGAATCTTTTGGAAGATATTGTATTTGAGATTGTAAGGAATAGATTGGTAGGTCAATTATACATGTTGCTTGTAATTATGTCACCCCCTATAGATCAGATTCTGCCTTTAAAAAACCGTCATGTCAATATTTCATGACATGAATTGAAATGGTCACGGATAGTCTTGTTGATGAGATATTGAATGTTTTCATTTAAAATAGAAGTTGTCCCATATTTGTCTGTTCTCAATAAGCTTACATATAGATGGTAGCCTCGTCGACAGGAAAATGGTCGAAATCGGAGAATTTTTTTTAATTACGCTTTAAAAAAGAATAAATAAATATCATGAGTATAAAGATCAATGAAGGTGAGTTTAATCGCCAATTTAATCGCCAATTGTATGGGTTTATCGGCAGAACTAAGAGATTTTAGTTTTTACATCGGAAATATGTCAGCAATTATCAAAATGTCGGAAGGGGAATTCCCCAGGGATTTCCCTTATGACTGGTACATGCCGAGAACTGAATGGAGGAATTTGATGGTTGAAATTAGTTAAATATTGCACACAAATATTGCTATAAAAAACGAAAATATCTTCGTTCTGCCGATAAACCCATACAATTGGCGATCTAACAACATAAAAAGAATTCTAAAATACTGGAATGTATCGAGGTAGGTCATTTAATAGTGCAATGCGTAGTTCATTCTCCGACATTGTAGAAAGACAGGCTTACCAATGATATGCGTATGACCACAATCTAAAGTGGTCGGTAGGATACGATAACTTCGACTGAGATTTTGACTGAGAAAAATAATTAAAATATTAATGAGTTATTATAAGACTGAATACAAAGAAGCCTACTTGCCTTTTCAGGAATCTGGCATCATTTTCTTGCATGGTTGATGTATGTCAATGGATCGGTAATTACTCGTTCAAGAGACCTAGACTTATAAAAAACTACATTTCACTGATTATTTTCGAAAAATTAAAAATATTTCCGCCATGTTGTTAATATTCAATGAGATGACATCATTTCGAGAGTTTGCAAAAATAAGAATACCAACATCAAATATCGATTCTAATAAGTTTTTATGATTTATGATATTAAAACTTTGATATCAATTACTAAATTTCAATTAAATTATGTGTAAAACATGTTGATAATCGAGTTTTGGTTTTCAGTCTCGCCAATGAGATCACGTGACAACAACCTAGAATAGGTGGCAGCATCTGAAAGTTGAAAACATGAAAACTTGTTTATGAGAGCAGACAGTTTACATCAATATTAACAAAAATATAGGCTTATTTAGAAAATAAATAGCCATGGCTGACGTATGTGACCAGATAGAAAATAGTTTGAAAGTTGAATCAAGCAGTGACATTTCATCCAATTCTTCTGAAGTGAACACCCAAAATGACAACAAAAACAATGATCAAAGGCAAGAACTGGAAGAAGACAAAGCCTCATCCAATGGAAGTTTTAATTCCAAATCTGATTGCTCTCATGATGAACCCTCTTTGAATCCTGCGCCTGGCCAGGAAAAAATCTTGAATGAAACCATAGGTGCTAAAAAAGAGGACAATGACATTTTGCCGCAAAATGGGAACTCAAATAATCCTTTGTATGAGGATGCTAAATCATATTGGCAAACTGTGCCACCAACTGTAGATGGTATGCTCGGAGGGTTTGCCAGAATATCTACAACTGATATAGCAGGATCTAATAAGTTTCTGCGTTCTTTTATAAAGGTATTGAATACAAATACATTTAGGCTTACTCACTTCGAGAGCCATGTCAGATTTTGAAACTTATGGCTCTCGAACGGGGAAATGGACAGCTGAATAATAGTGACCTTTGAAACACGAATTAAGTCGATCAGTGGCTTACTTTTGCTCTCTAACTATGTCATACATCATTATCATCCTTCCGTGCAAGTATTGGAGCGCTGAAGTACTTCCTTTTCGATCAAGACTTGTAATTGTTAGTCGAGTGAAATGTTTTTTCTGCCAAATTCCAATATGGCGTTTCTGCTCGGACATTTTCGTAAATCTCCGGAGGTTGTTCGAACCTAACTCATTCTCAAAATTCATTTCATTTGTTGCGTATCTCGCTCCTAGCAAACCGCCATATTGGAAATGGGTCGAAAAAACATTCACTCGATGAACAGTTTACAAGTCTTGATCGAAAAAGAAGTATTTCAGCGCCCCAGTACTTGCACGGATTGATGATACTGATGGAAGACACAGTTAAAGACCAAAAGTAAGCCGCTGATCGACTTAATTCGTGTTTCAAGGGTCACTATTATTCAGCTGCCCAAGTGCCCTGTGGGAAAGCTATTTTATCAAAATCCACATAGCTTTCGCAGGAAGTAAATTTTAGGCCCATATTTGGGCTACCTGAATTAGGCATTGCCAGATGCTTGAAATTTTTTAAGAGGCATATATGTACTTGAGACATCAAATTTAGCACACTTTCTTTCATGTCTGTAAATCTGGCTTGTTACACTATGCTCGAAAGTTGGTCATACCCTATATTTCCACAGTTGGTTAGAAAATTTCTAAACTGTGGCCAATTGAACAATGTGAACCAGATGACCAAGATTGGTATGGGATAAACTGATCATCCTATAGTCGGTTCAGGATAAATCTCTATTCTGATGAACTAATATGATTGGGGTTTGAACTTTGCCAAAACAATGAGCATTTTTTCAAGAAGAATATTTTGAGATAAGATATTTTTGTCAGTATTGCATTTCTCAAACTCATGTTTTGTAGGGACCATAGTGGTATTACCATAGTGGTACTCGTACCTCGTACCTCGTACATTACATCCAGCTCTCTTTTTAAAAAGTTTTAAAAGTGTTTCAGCAAGTCAGTATGAAAAAATCAGTTTGCATTCTTACATTTGTTTTTCGAACAGAACAGATTTTAGTCAGTTCACAACAACAATATTATTTTTCTGATGATACAACACATATACTGTAATAATATTAAAATCGCTTTTCAGGGGCCTAAAGCAAAGACTAAAACCCGCTGTGTAGTAGACTGTGGTTGTGGAATAGGACGTATTACAAAACGACTTTTACTGCAGTATTTTGACAAAGTTGACATGGTGGAGCAAGACACAAAATTCATTACTGAAGCCAGGACATTTCTTGGAGATGGTGCCAAAAAGGTTGATAACTTTTTCAATTGTGGATTACAGGACTTCGAACCAGTTGCTGAACGTTATGATGTCATATGGTGCCAGTGGGTCCTTGGACATTTAAGCGATGATGATTTTGTTCAATTTTTCAGACGTTGCCGGGAAGGCCTTGCCGAGGATGGAGTAATTATAATTAAAGAAAATGTCACAGGTTGTCATTCTCCAGAATTTGATAAACAGGACAGTAGTTTTACTCGACCAAAGTCCGCCCTAGTGGAACTGATTAATAAATCTGGATGTACTATCATAAAACAAGAGAAACAGAAAAATTTCCCCAAATCAATCTTTGATGTATGGATGTTTGCTCTCATGTAAATCAATTATTATTTTCAAAATACTATTTTCATGCTTTCATAATTTTTATAAAAAAATTTCAAAGTGTCAGTTATTATAAAAAAATGTACACATAATGTTACAAATATGATTAAAATTTTGAGCAGATAAGTAATATTGATTAACAATTGCTCCATCAACAGAAATTGAGCCTACGTGATAGACTGGGCATCCATACATATTTGGTCTGTCTGTCCATCACTAATGACTTTTTATTCGTAAGCTTAAAAGAATCAATTTCAAAATTGTCACACTTCTTAAAAATTGAGCATTTTTCCAAGCTTTCGTTTAATAAATAAATAATGAAACAATGGTTTTCATTAAAATCTATTGATGGTGCAAATTGAAGGCTCTTATGAATTTTTTATTTTAATATTGGGGTATCTAAGGTCAGAAATAGGGTCACTATAAGGCAGTGTAAAGCATATATTAAGGTTGCCTGCTTGAATGCTTTATATAATAGATTAACATGAAGCTACAAGAATAAAACATGAAACTCAATTAAGTGTTTGTATCATGATATATGAATACTAGTAAATATGTAGTTCATTTACAAAACATAAAATCTCTCAACAAGGGCATTAAAGAATTCAGCTTTCAGCATTATTTGAATTTATTTCCCATCTGTAATTGCAAGTAGACACTTGACTTTTGTTTACTCCATACTTCATAAAGTGTAAAGATTCATTGAAATAGCATATACTCGTATTACAGGGTGTCCAAGAAGTAACGTCAATGACCCTGGCATTTTGTCATTTATGCTTCAAATGTCATGAAACTTGGTCAGAATGTCCCTTGTACATTTATAAATATGAAGTATGGAGTTACTAGCATTTGATTGGCCGGTTTTATGGTTACCATAGTAACACAAGTGCATGGACCCAGGGGCAGCTCTGCAATCCATAAGATCTTTTGAAAATAAAATAACCATAAACACTAGTTTTGAAGTGTACATCTTTTATTTATAATATGACCACAAATATAATGTTTTCAAGTACACATCATTTATTCATAATATAGCTGTTGCTGGCGTTATATTAGTATTATATTAAAGTTTATTGAATGTTACTCTAGTACATAATCACCACCAAGTTCCACACATCTCTGGTGTCTTCTTACCCACTCCAAGAAAACTCTATTGAAACCACCAGAGCTCATTTCTGCAAGGGATGACAGAACAGAGCTCTTAAGTTCCTCATTTGAAGAGAAAGACTGTCCAGCAAGTTTAACCTTCAGTGCACCATAAAGATAGACGTCACTAGGGGCCAAATCAGGCGAATATGGAGCTTGTTCAAGTATGGGGTATTCCTAGTATCTCAACTACTTCCATGGTGTTCCTTGCCTTGTGAATGGGGGCATTGTCCCAGTGCAGTGAAAGGCGCAATCCAGGTCTCATATTATGATGTCATAAAGTACTCCAAAGAAGTGTTACCATGGTAACTCCAAATAAACAACAAAACCGTTAAGATTTGAAAAAGTCCCAAGACATTGTATTTCATTTTTGCCAAATGTTTTACCTTATAATAACCTGATTTACATAATATTTACCAGGTACATTCTGAACTGCCCCGGGGTCCATGCACTTGTGTTACTATGGCAACCATAAAATCGGCCAATCAAATGCCAGTCACTCCATACTTTGTATTTATATTTATAAATGTACAAGGAACATTCTGACCAAGTTTCATGACATTTGAAGCATAAATGACAAAATGCCAGGGTCATTGACATTACTTCTTGGACACCCTGTATGTATCCTGCAGTGTTCTACTTTTTGACTCAGATCTATAACATATATTTCAAATTTTCAATTTTAAAAAGTCATGAAATTTAAATGGCTTACAGATCCAGAATAATGCTTTTAGTACTATTAAATTGTTAGGTCAGGGTTAGAAATGAAAAAACTGGATATAAATTTTATCTACACAACCTTTTAAAACTTTTCGTATGTTAAGTTAAAAATAAGGTCACTTAAGAAAATTTGTATACTCTTTCAAACACCTTGCAGATGTGATGATGAAATTGTTTCATTTTTTCAAACCTTTTAAGATTATTCCATTTCAAATTAATTCTGTTGTTAGTAATTAAATGTTTTTATAAGGAGGCCCTTCTTCCCAGAGCTCCTCGTATTAGTTTTATAGGTATCATCCTAAGTCATTGACAATGAACTTCTTTGATTTGGGAAATGTTTTCATTTCGTTTTACTTTTTTATGATCAGAATTTAATTAGTTTGCATAACAAAATATTTGGTATCTACATGTAGATGTTACTTGGTTGAGAAATCAAAGTTGAAGGTTCATTTTTGTCAAATGAATTGGATGATACTAACTCCAGTTATCATGCTGTTTTGAACCAGTGATAATAAGACAAACAGGGTCGAAATAAAAGGGTGTTCCACTTGTTCTGAATAAGGTGGTGGGATTTGGCTAGTTTTAAGTTTAAGTTAATTAGGGCACAAACAGCAAGTGTAATGGAATACTTGGTATATTCAACAATGTATAATGTACCTGTGTGCCGGCTGATGAAATAGACACAGTATCTGTAAAATGAGCACAAATAATTGTTAAGTTATTAGAGATTTATATAAATTATGAGCATAGGATTTCATTCTATGTCCAAGATTCAAAACAGATGGGGGGAAGTTCTCATATGTGCTTTTAACAATGGCTGAAAGCTACATTGGTTTTGGAAAATGCCGTCTCATATAGAAAGTCCTTTGATAATAGGACAACAATTCTAAACAAATGAAAACAGAAAAATTAGCCAATAGATTGTATAGATGTTGTGAAAATTGTTTTCAAGGTCAGGGTGCATGTTGGGAAATTTTCTGCATCCCTCAATTGAGTCACATGTTATTTTTCAAACAAGAATCACTCCTTCCCCACATTGTCTTCATCTTCCAGGTCTGCACAAAGAGTGCACTCATGTGCCTAGAAAAGCCTTGTGAGAAGATTTGTTTTGTAAAATGTATAAAAATGAGAAAATTCAGTGAAACAAATTTCTGAAAATTTTCTGAATTTTTTCACTGAATTTTCTTGTTTTTTGTACACTTTATTTATGTCCAGGAGTAAACGACTGAAACACATTAAATTCTCAGAAATTTAGCTGGCCATAAATATTGTGTCAATGACAGAACAGATTATCTTAATGTTTCAGTTTGAAATTCTATATCTCTGTTCATATGAGTATACTAGTAGATAGAATATCTGTATCAGCTATTTGAATGTGAAAGCAACTTCTAATACGTGTAGCTCAATGCAGAGTTTTTACATTTCAATTAGACCATAGGCATAGCCATGGGGGGGGGGTGCAATTGGCGATCGCACCCCCCCCCCCTTCCCATAACCAATAAAATATAACCATGAGAAGAGCTTTGGAATGCTTTTTATTTGAAGCTTCTAGCTCAATTTATTATGAAGGAAGTTGCATAAATTTTTGAAAAATTCAAGATACAGTAAATCTTAATTATTGGCTTTTTATGCCACAATCGCATCCCCTGACTGAAAATAGAATTTTTTGGCGATCGCACCCCCCCCCTGCACTGACTGAAAGCTGGCTACGCCCCTGTAGACATTTCCATTCTTAAACTTCATATCCTGCAAATTCCTATATATGAGGCAATAAAATAAAATAAAGTTCTATCTGCATAATATCACATTGTGATCTAGATAGATAACTAGCTTGACTGACTGATATTCATTTGCCTTCATCATGTTATTTGGCTTACAATAGCCAGGATTTTGTGACTGGGAGGGGGTGGTTCATTTTTCAAATTCATGCAAAAATACTTCCCCCCCCCACACTCAAATTACCTCATCTTACATTAAGTAATAAAGGTATCATAATTTGATCATTGTGGAATTTAATTGGTCTTTAAAAAATAAAAGTATCTTGTATCATTATGAAATAAAATCAAAACCATTTTTAGGGATAAACATGAAGTCCCATGCGCAAAAGTATTCAAAATATTTTCAAAGTCGTGAATTACTTATAACACATATCTAGACTTAGATACCCTTTGAGACAGTAATCCATTTAGGCTCATTCTATTTTCAAGATGACATCTGAATTCAACTTAGTTTTGAAGTGTGAACTAGGCATGAAGTATTAACTACCCTAATAAATTAATAATCTCATGTTTATTTGGTTTTAACAATGGCCATTGTCTCTATCAAAAGATATAATTATACCAAATGAAATTTGGTACTCCATATTCCATTTTAGAATATTTAACTTGAAACTGGAGTAAATATTATATCTGTCTCTGGGTAGTATAGTACATGTATTGTATACTAGTAACATCTTATTTAGTCTTGAATACTTCAAAGAACACCAGATATTTGCCTTTAAAAATACATTGAATCAGACTGCAATCTGTCTATGAGTGGAGGACAGTGAATTCACTCTAGACTAAAACCAAGAAGACAAACCCATAACTTACATCTTATCTAAATAATCTGTCAACTTAAACACTAACGAGTTTTCCAGAGCTGATCAGATTTGATCAGAACTTTGCAGTTATCTGGAGGACTATTTATCAAAACATTCTTCTCACAAGTCTAGGCACAATAGAAATAAACCTCAACTGAACAAGGCAGAGTTTGCTTCCGACCACTGTTTTGATATATTGTTTTATTCCTACATCCATTAGACTTAAGCCTATAAAATTTGGATAACCAATGAATTTGAAATTTCCTTCTGAAAAATGATGACCATTTTGATTTCAGCAACCATCTGGAGTATCCCCTTTTGAGCAGATTACTATGCCCACAAGGTCTACATCAATAATCTACAAAAGGCTAATACGATTGTGGTTTAACAATGATAGAATAAGATATCTGCACATAATCTGATGACCGGTATTTGAGTTATCAAAAATTAGCCATCATTTAGACTAAAGCCTGTCAATTTAGGACCATATCTGATGAATGATATATATTGTAAAAGTAATATTTTTCAAGAAAAAAGGTGGACGATTTGAATTCAATGGCATCTTGGAATATATCCCTCTCAAACTATGGTCGATGGGATAACAACCAGACAACAATAACTGAGAATATATATATACATTTTCAGATAAAATAATGTTTTATATTCTTTTGGAATATTACTCTATGGAACATTGGAAACAAATATGTTACAACTACATGATGGCCCAGTATGTGAAGTTATATTTTTTCAAATGACCCACCATGTGTAATATATATCTTTTATTGACTCTTTAGATGTCATATCATGACATATTAGTCACTAAGGTAGAGCAGTTCTTCCCATTGTCGAGTTGAAGAACTGATATCTTTATCCTGGCTAGAACCATAGACAATTCTAGCCAGCGCCAGCCTTTTATCGAGTTAGCAGCACTCTAGAAATCGCCGGTATAGGTCAGCAGTCATAGGTCAAAGATAAATCACAAGAAGTACTGTGACCTGGGTTTGAACCCAAGACCTCTACTTTTCAGCCTGAAGCCAGACTTCCTGCTTTCCAGACCAATGCCTTAACCACTAGGCCAACCTGGCGACCACAGTGACAATAATGTCATAAATATAACTGCCACATATGTCCCCAGGAGTTAAACACTACAGTGAAAATAAAATAAAAACAAGTATGATTTTGTAATTGCCAAGTTTAATATGTAAAATACGATAAATTACAGTATAACATAATATAAAGTAAGTACATGAGAACTAAATAATATACTTGGCACTATCAAGAAAAGATTTTGACAATTTCCTGTCAAATTGGGTCTGAAACATTTACTACACAGCAGTATACAATAATTATTTTTCAATATACAGTACATGGACAGGTATGTAAAATATTGATCAACCTGCTGAATTTTTCATTTGTACATGTCTTATTGACTTATGTATGAGGCAATTTTTTCTTGTGAGGTGATCCTGCAAACATATCGTACCCTACTTGACCCAATGAAAACAACCATTCCTTTGTAAAATATAACACATCCGGATGATAATGAGTTACATTTGTGAACTCAAATATTGAGCGATTTTTTGGGTTCCGTTATTGGATATGTTCAAAATTTGTAGTTGAGAATGCACACGAAACATCTGAATGATTTCCGCTTATTAACATGATTGATGGATAACTACAAAGTATCAAACACCAAATATAAAATTACAGTGACCTGAATTAAACAAAAATGTATGTTGTTGCAGTGCTATGTGACATCATACATAACTCTTAGACTGCAAATATATGACAGTGATGGGCGTCCCAAGAGTGTGATCCCTTTTACCAATATTAATTACCAAAAATTATATTTATACCCTGGTATAGCCTTGGACTGTTACAGAAAGTACAGATAAATTAAGTTTCGCGTCATAAAATTGTATGTAATAAGAATCAATGTTGTTTTAGATCACACCTCAGATGAAGAATTTACACATTTCTATATCTCAAATAACTACTGTATTTCTTCAAAGTGCCTAGTACACACTGCAGTAGAATCCTATTTGTCAATTTTAAAATTTTTAAACTTTTTAAAACTTATGAAAAATTCGAAGAGGAATAAATCAATCTGAAAACTGGAGTATTAGAGAGTGAGGAATATGACAGTGATATAATAATTTTCAATATTTGATTTCAACTTGAGGTGAATTATTAAATGCATTATAAAATCTAAGTCTCTAAAATATATTTGCCAGTACATTATATTCAAAAATATGTTTGCCATTATATATTGTACATAAATGTACATCCAAACTGTAAGTAATCAAAATACTGTCTTTAGTGAACAACTGTATTTGTACAACTGTACAATTTGAATTTTGTGAGCTACATGTACAATTGAACATATATCCTGCCTTGGTTATTCTACACACTACCAACAGTTAAAACATTGAGCATGAGTCTACAATAAAACCTCCATGAACGCTACATATACAATAAGTCAAAGAATGCGTTCATATATAGGTTTTACTGTACACATATTAACATATTATTAAAGACGACATATTTCAAATTCATACCTCGTTTTTATCACTGAGTGATACACATTGAAAAACTCTGAAACATGATAACAGTCCCTAAGATAACATTGTCATGGTTGATACTCCTGAGGGTCTAAGTGAATCTCTGGGGTGACACTGAGTGAGTGTCACTGAGTGGGTCTCACTGAGTGAGTGAGTGAGTGAGTGAGTGAGTGAGTGTGAGTGATTTTACTACATACCTGTTCAAGTATCAACTTACATCACAATTCTATAAGGGTTGCAAAAATTGAAATCTTCAAACATTTAAACAGGTTTGTTCTTATAAGTTGGTTCAAAAAGTTCAGACATCAAATGATTTAAAGAAATTATTTGAGCGATTTTGTGTAAAACATGTGATATCTTATGAAAATTGTTCACATTAGGTTAATCTTTCAAATAAGACTGTTCACTGTTCAAATTAAGATTTGTTCATGTTTCAAGGTTTTCTAACATGGGCATCAGTTGGAGAGAAAAATGGGACTGAAAAAAGCATTCACATTGGGAGGTATTCGAATATACAGATTTTACTGTATTGTATATGAGCATTTCCTGTATACCAAGTACTTTAACTATATGCTTCATATTCCTCGATCAATTCACATTCTTGTTAATAAATTTAATTTAACAAATACAACCCAAGTAAATATCATTTTATATACAATATTACTATGTACATGTAAATATTATGTCATATAACAGACTAGTGATATTTATATTCACAGTATAAACTATTTACATCTTTTTACATCAGTCAAATATATGAGCTGACCCAATACATATAATAAGTCAATAAGGGACAGAAGCATTTCATTTCACAGGAATATAACTGATATATTAAACATCTAAAATGATTTTTTCATATCTTATGTTCCCATCTATGTCACATATGATTGCCTAGATACTCAGTATTATAGTGATATTTTACTCATAATTTTGAGAATTTCCCAAGAACAGAGATCTTATATAAAAATCTGAAGCACTGTCTCACAAAATCATCACTGGCACAGTGTACTAAGAGTAAATGACCATTAACACTACAGTGTGCTCAGAAAAATTCGTGTTCAAGTGGTTCCAAGCCTCTTTTTTAAACCTCAACTTGGTACTGCATTTACACTTGCTTTACTGCTTGAGAAATCAATGGGGCAATAAGAAAAATACATGGGCAAAGAATATTTCATATACATGTATCTTTAGAAAGAGGACTCACTGGTCCAATAGTTATTTCATAACAAATATTCCATTCTTTTCTTTTTTGTATAAAAAACCAGGTACCTCGTACCCACGTATGTGGATCGTGATACAGTCTTTGAAGGGTTCAATTTTTAAAGCTTTAAAAGATTATCCTATCTTAGTTAATGCTAACTTAGATATATTAGTGCACTCATAGTATACTCCTCAAAAAAAGTTAAGGACCTCATGGGTTTACATGTTAACGCCCATATTTGTTTAAAGACGGTTTTCTAAGGGGGAAACAAAAGAAATCCCAATAAAGAAAATAAATCTGTATCTTGATTCTATTCACTATAAAGTCCGCAACGTTTCAATGTTATATCTCCATTACATTGGGTCAAAAATTGATGTCAAAATTGATGAATTTCATGAAATTGAACAAAAATGGCAGATCCCATGTTAAACAAATGGGGAATGGTTGGGTTGCCATAAGTCATATGAGGAACGATCCATCCATCAGATTGCTCTCAAAATTGAGATTGTAAGAGATAATTAAATTTGTTAAATTGTCCACTCGACAAAAATATGATTTAATTGTCCAGGCTTTACAAAAGTTAATGGTTTCAAATTCAATAATTTTTTAATGAACCTCTTATTGAAATAACACAGGTGGTTCAGTGAGGTGGTCAAAATTACTTTAATGCTCCGTATCGCTAATTTTAACAACATAAGCGAGACATTTAGCATGTAAAATGTAAAATCATTCAATTTTCTACTTAGAAAGTATTTTTAATAAATGTTTTGCTGAATGGATATTCCAAAATCTGAGTTGCCCCTAAGCCACCATTCCCCATTTGTTTAACATGGGATCTGCCATTTTTGTTACATTTCATGAAATTCATCAATTTTGACATCAAATTTTGACAGAATGTAATGGAGATATAACATTGAAACGTTGCGGACTTTATAGGGAATAGAATCAAGATACAGATTTATTTACTTTATTGGGATTTCTTTTGTTCCCCGCTTAGAAAACAGTCGTTAAACAAATATGGGCGTTAACATGTAAACCTATGAGGTCCTTAACTTTTTTAAGGAGTATATTTATAGTGTTTATAAAAATCGACAAAGTCATAAAATAAAAAATCAATTTGAGGTTTTATTGTTTGTCAGAATAGCGTCATTCAAAGGCTCGTTCAGTAGGGAAAATCTGACCTAAACTAGTTTTAAATATCTTCGGGATTTGCTAAATAGAACTGTGTTTCATTTTTTTTAAACACAACATAAGGAATGATGATTTTAACTGTGGATGATGATTCCCATGCAATTGAATGGTGGAGAAAGTAGTACACCCATAGAGACATATGTAGTTGTAATGCAATCTAAATGTGGCAATTTTATAGTTACACCTTTAAGGCCACTTCCTGGAAGTCCCGGGTAAATAAAAAATGATTTTAGCGTAGATTAGTTCTAGCGAACAAGCATTTCAATAGCGCAATTTTGATGAAGGATAATATAGCAAAGATAAAAACATGTTTGCAATTCTGGCCTTATTTTATGACTAGAAAATGTTAGACCTATAAGACATCCATGTAGGGCTACAGGTGTATTAATGGATCTACAATTCAGCATAGACGGAGATTAAATAATCTTAATATTTTAAAAATTGAAGGCTTCAAAGACTGTATCATGCCTCACATACGTACGCGGTATCAGTTTTTTTTTATACAAAGCCCTTTTTAGTGAACATTTTGTATTTATTGAAATCCCGATGTAAATATAACAAGGGAATGATATCGTCAAAATATCCTCATGTGACTGGTTATTGGCCATGAAAATGTATAAATCTTAAATAGTTCATACATGTGCATGTTCATGCTAATATATTAAGTCTCATTTTGTAAAGTTCTTCAGCTTCAGCTCGGACATAGAAAAGAGACCCAACATAAAATACTACTGGCATGTAACTTAAGGAATGGTCCATATAAATAGGATGTTTCTAATGTTGTAAATAGAGGCCCACAGTGCATCATGTATCAGCGATTCTGACTGTTCGAGTGGTCTAAAGGCCATAGAATGATCTGGAATGTGATGATATGCATTTTCATAAAATTTAATCCTTTGAAATAACGGACCAATGAGGTTGTGCCAACCAGTCCAGGCAAATGGTCATGTGACAGTTCATGTGACCTGAAGAAATATTGCTGTTCCCTTTGTCATTTGAATTCTCATTTCAAAGCTATTAAACTGGCCATTTGACTGAGGATATTATGTTTATTCAGTATAATACAGTAGATGTAAACTATTCAGAGTGGCCATGGCAAATCGTTGAAATCCACTGGGCCTCCTAATCCAGCATCTGCCTCTAATAAACTCATTATAACTGCCATAGCAGCTTCATCATTTCCTTCACTAAAGCCAGACAAGGCTTCATCAGTTTCAGCCACATTTGACGCATTTGATGCATCTACAGACACTGGAAAAAGAGGAATACATAGTTTACACATCTGAATTAATTCATAATCAGTCAGAAAAAGAGCTTTTTACAGACTGTAAGTACGAAGCAATATAACTAAATTGTAATATGTCTGTTTTGTTGAAGTGAAGTTTTAAATGAAAAAAACAAGATGCAATAATGTAACAATGAGAGATTACCTGGACTAGACATGGTTATGTTAGTGAAGCCATTCTGAGTGGTTGTCACTAAGCCATTATCAGGTTCTCTATCAGTTCCATGAATAACTGAAAACAACCCAAATACATATTCTAAGCATACATTTTTGCTTTAAATCATCATCAGGATTATTTCAAGACCAACTTATCTAGCAAATCCTGTAACAGGCACCCACCTGTCTGTTCCCAGCCACTAATAAACCTGTGCCAGGCACCCACTTATCTATTCCCACTCACCTATAATCCTGTGCCAGGTACCCACCTATCTGTTCCCACTCACCTATAATCCTGTGCCATGCACCCACCTATCTGTTTCCACCCACCTATAACCCTGTACCAGGCACCCACCTATCTGTTCCCACTCACCTATAATCCTGTGCCATGCACCCACCTATCTATTCCCACTCACCTATAACCCTGTACCAGGCACCCACCTATCTGTTCCCACTCACCTATAATCCTGTACCAGGCAGCAGGCACCCACTTATCTGTTCCCACTCACCTATAATCCTGTACCAGGCACCCACCTATCTGTTCCCACTCACCTATAACCCTGTACCAGGCACCCACCTATCTGTTTCCACCCACCTATAACCCTGTACCAGGCACCCACCTATCTATTTCCACCCACCTATAACCCTGTACCAGGCACCCACCTATCTGTTCCCACTCACCTATAATCCTATGCCATGCACCCACCTATCTATTCCCACTCACCTATAACCCTGTACCAGGCACCCACCTATCTGTTCCCACTCACCTATAATCCTGTACCAGGCAGCAGGCACCCACCTATCTATTCCCACTCACCTATAATCCTGTGCCATGCACCCACCTATCTGTTTCCACCCACCTATAACCCTGTACCAGGCACCCACCTATCTGTTCCCACTCACCTATAAGCCTGTACCAGGCACCCACCTATCTGTTCCCACTCACCTATAGTCCTGTACCAGGCAGCAGGCACCCACCTATCTGTTCCCACCCACCTATAATCCTGTACCAGGCAGCAGGCACCCACCTATCTGTTCCCACTCACCTATAATCCTGTACCAGGCACCCACCTATCTGTTCCCACTCACCTATAACCCTGTACCAGGCACCCACCTATCTGTTTCCACCCACCTATAACCCTGTACCAGGCACCCACCTATCTGTTCCCACCCACCTATAACCCTGTACCAGGCACCCACCTATCTGTTCCCACTTACCTATAACCCTGTACCAGGCACCAACCTATCTGTTCCCACTCACCTATAATCCTGTACCAGGCACCCACCTATCTGTTCCCACCCACCTATAATCCTGTACCAGGCAGCAGGCACCCACCTATCTGTTTCCACTCACCTATAATCCTGTGCCAGGCACCCACCTATCTGTTCCCACCCACCTATAACCCTGTACCAGGCAGCAGGCACCCACCTCTCTGTTTCCACTCACCTATCATTATTGCCTGGTAATGTTTATAGTGACATGATCGACTTTCACCCACCTATCTGTTCCTACCCACCTATAACCATGTACCAGGCACCCACCTATCTGTTCCCACCCACCCATAATCATGTCTCAGGCAGCACCTATCTGTTCTTTTAACTGTGGGTCTAATTTATTGTGAGAGAACATGAGCCTAATGGCATACTGATGAATTTGTTAGAAATTCTACTTTAATCATTATTGCCTGGTAATGGTTATAGTGACATGATCGACTTTCAGTGGTTATTAAGAATATGAAACCCACTGAAAATTACAGTTTGGTTAAGCAGCATTAACCTACTGACACAATACTTCACCTGTGAACACTTCAGTGTATGTTGAATTTTTCCAGAATTCTCAAAGATTACTACTTAGCTGAATCATTTGAAATGTTTAATTAAATCCATTTTTATATTAATTATACAACTTAATATCAAAAATAGCTAGTTATTTTAATTTATAATTTTAAATACATTTAAGGGTAATGTTTGATATAACAGAATGATTTTAATATTTTGAAAATGGGGAAACTAACCTGTTGATGCTGAGCTTTCGTTTCCACTCGTAGAGTAGGTGGGTTGAGGCATGCCCCTATACTCTTGATTGCCATGCCGTGACGTTTTCATGGCCCATTGAGCTATGTGCATTTTCCGTGCCTCTGACTTGTACATATGCCAAAGCTTAGAGTGGGCAGATTGAGCATCTTCTTTTGTGTTGCTGCAAATTACATGCAATAAAATATAACTTTGTAGTGCATTTCCAGAGGAGTAAGATATTTGAGAATGACTAATGTTCTCATACAATAACAGAACAGCAATAGGATACTGTCTCGAAATGACAACTGGAAAATCAGTATATATTACAGTTGTAAATGGTAAGTCGCGGATGTATCGCTACATTTTGAATGGGTGCACTCCCGAACCCAAATATATCATCCAAGAGGTTTGGAATGCGCCTTTTGGTGCAAGCTGAGTGTTAATGGTGCAAGAGAATCACTAAATATGCTAAAGAAAATTCACTAATATGCACTTCACACATGCAAATACAATATATTCATTTAAAAATGAAGTATATTAAGTAATGCTTAAACATAATCGTAATTGAACTTATTGTATCTAGAAACACACAATGAAGATGTAATACTTGTTGAAATAAATAAAATAGCAAGGGAATTCCAGGGTCTTAAAGTAGGTGTGGATAATGTGAAAAAGTGAGATGTCCTCTTTCTCGCTCACTTGCTAGTTCCTGTTTCAACCCAAGTTGGGAAGTGTGACATTGTCATCTCCATGGTAACATTATTAATAATAATGAGAGTAGGAACCAATAAGGTTTCAAATACAAACATGAATTGCAGAAACCTGATATAAAATACATCTATTTAGATGAAACGCCACTTACACATGCTGCATTTCTAATACTTCATCAGCAATATTGCGTCCTATTTTCCCAGCACCTGGCTTCATTGAGCCCATGAGGTCTGGGAAATGAATGACGTATTTCTTTGATAATACTGTTTCGGGATTTTGTTGATTTTTTGCTGGAAAACAATAATGAAATGACAATTATGATTTGTTTATAATCAGCCTATATAGTATAATATTTCATAAGTCTGTACTTTGTAGTCTCTTTATCACATCACTATTGTCATGGTTACAATACATTTAAATTAAATTGTAACCTAGCATACAAAAAGTGAACAACTTGGTACAAAAATGAACAAATTGGTACAAGAGTGAACAACTTGGTACATGAGTGAACAACTTGGTACAAAAGACGGACGGACGGACGAACGGATGGAGGCGTTCCCTATATCCCTCCGAACTTCGTTCAATGGGATAATAACAACTGACCAGCAATTTATGTAAGTATGTTAAGAATTTACCATTTAAATGACTTATTTCAATCTTATTTTAAGGAATAAGCTATAATAGGCTTATTAAATTTGCTTAATTAGCTTAATTAAGTGGATTTGCTGAATTAGCTAATCCGATTATATTTCTTCATTCATTGCTTTTGCCGCACCTTTGCCGACTCCTTTTGCCAAAATAGTAATATTTGAATGAAGCAGAATAAAATGATTTCACATCAGTTTTGTTTAACAACTCTTTGGTAATATTATGAACTCTTGTAAAATAATCACCAATTGTTTCATTAACTGTATCATCGTGCGCTAACAAGGAGTATAAAAATAGACTGCTTGTATTAAAATGTTTTAATATAAAAAAAATTGTAGTAACTTCCTGTATAACAACTTAATCTAAAACATTTTAAAAATCATTTTTTCCATCTAATTTATCCTGCTGACATCATTTTTAATGGATTCCCTAATTAGATTAACCAGCAGTTTGAATGCTGAATACCAACCACCAAATGCTGAACACCAACCACCAGACACCATCCACAAAAAATAGACATATTTAGAAAAGGAACATTCAAGAATTCAATCAGTTACAAAGAAAACATATCCGCTCCACTTAATAACTTATTTTTCCAGTTCTCCAAGATGACGAACAAAGTTAATATATTGACTCTTTGGAGTAGCTTGACATTATCACATTATGACTTCTAGGACTTCTTTGCACTGGATTACTGTGTCAAACACATTAATCAGTTTCTCCAAGAACCTGACTGTCTACTTCATACATTAACATTTCACACCTAAATTGACAAATATCTATCTAGTCTTTCACTAAACTGAAAATTAAATGAGGAAAATCAAGATTATTTCTACTTGCATCTGGTCTATTGTACAAGGGTTGATCCAAAAGTTCCGAACCATTTGCTCTAAAAATCTAAATATTTTATGAATATTGTTCATATTTGGCCACAACCACCCCATATATAGTACTTTCATAACCAGTAGATTACATTATATATTCACAGTGAATTTCATACCTTGACAGTCAATATCCCTGTCCTCATCTGGAATAGGCAGCAGTGGAGAGTCTATGAGCCCCGAACTACTACATGTAACTTCTTGTATGCTGTAAACAATAAACAAACAATGGTTTACAATGCCGTCTCATAGATGGTCATATTGCCTTTGGTGACAAATGGCTAAATGCACTCTATACCTAAGATACATCAGATTGAACATCTGAGGATATGAACCTTGCGATATGATACATATACAAAAATGTAGCATTTGCAGTATGAAAACTGCTTCTCACTAGTGCTGAACTTTACTTTTAGTTTGTAAAGTTAGAAAGGCTATTTTAAAGAAAGGACCAAAATCCCTAGTGACCACAAAGTGAACTACAATTACTTCATTAACATTGTATCCAAATTCCATGAGTAAATGTCAGAAGCTGTAATATAATAAGTCATAGCTATTTACTTATTATGTTAGTGTTAAGTGTTAAGCCTCGTGTGGTACATGTTTGCTATATTAACAAAAACATGTCTAACATCATACAGTGTTTCTGAGGGGAGAGGGAGGGATGGATGGATGGATGGATGGATGGACAATTTTCAATACTGTGCTTACGTTCATTTTACAATAAACTTTTACATAATAGATAAATCTTGGAGATGTATTGAATCTCCCTGCCATATTTCTACTGTGATTTACAGGTGTGATATTTGATTTTCACAATCTGGCATTCAGTGCCTTCAAGTTCATTAGAGAATTATGAGTGCAAAAGTTTCCTCTAACAGCAATAATAAGTGGGTGATTTTAAGTTTAGCAATGAAGAAAATTGCGGATGTGGTGAAATTTTAATTTGTATCTGAAAATATTAGATGTCTTTTATCATCATCATTATAATGACAGCTAATTACACATTAAGCACACCATTAAAAAGCTATTTGTCATCTTAAATTTGGTTTTTACAAGATTAAGAATGGTTTTCTAACAAGTGAGAAATCAAAAGGCATGTATTAAAATCTGAAAAGACAACAGGACTATAATACTCACGGCACCATTGTGTTTATAGCAGATATGAATTCATGCTCCTTGGTCCATGGATTCCGGAAACTAAATGCTTTTGTTTTTAAATGTAGAAAAGTCCCAGACTTAGTTTTAAACCTGTATGTATTGGTTTCAAGTTTCTGGTCTTTATTTAGAAGAACTGGAAAAAATAAGATAATGATATTAGAATGATGCACAATCTAGTTAAAACATGCGGTAGTTTTGTATTGTGACTGTAAACTCAATTAAATAAAATAAAAAATAAAAAAGAGTAGACATATTCACATCGGAACACCCTGACAACAGTTAAGTCCAGTAAAGTGTGATTTTGGTGAGACAATTGTAAACATAAATTGCAACTTGATCACCCTCTTACCGAATTCATTAGCAACAGATACTTGGCAATTTTCTCCACTTAATTTTATCAAAGTAGCTTGTTGTTTTCGAAATAAAATTGAAACTGTTACCGTGTAATATAATTGTTCCCAATAATTTTTCAGTTCTGTTGCATGTTTCCTGGAACCCTATATCTCTGAATTTTAATTTACATATAGCTTTACCTAAGTCTCATGATGGTGACTAATGGTCTGCTAATGACTTGAACATATCATCTTTCCCCTTGACATACAGTCACGGTTTTAGGACAAGTTAATATGTTCACATACAGTCACGTTTATTAGGAAAAGTTAATATGAATACAGACACTAGTATCATGTGAGGCAAAATGTTTTTTTTCTGGTTTTGTAAATTGTTAGATAAGGCTATATAAAATCAAGGGCGTTACAATACCCGGGAATTTATCGGTTCGTCCAGTACTTGTTTGTGATAGCGCCCTCTGTAGGTCACTGTGCTTATAGCCTACAGTAATACGGGGTAGGATATCGGGAATTCGGTCAGTTTCTATCCGTCGATTTCGCTATGAATTGAAGCAAGTGTGACCACTTTATCCACTTAAACAATTTGATAATGGATTAAATCTTTAAACAAAATCGATAATCACGTTATACACTTCCTATCTCCTTAGAAATTAGCATGTATTTATGGATTGTGTTTTCGAACAAGGCTCGACCCACCCCAATAGGGAAATCCTTATGCTAATTAGTATGACGTCATATTTTCCTGGGGAATCCTAGATTTCAAGGCCTCAGTCTGTTATTGTGTCAAATGTAAACGCTCTTGGGACGCTCTTTTGCAGACAGAAAATTGACAGATTAGCTTTTAACTTTCAGCTTTGATGTTTAAATATTCTGTATTTCTACCGGACTTCTTGCTGAATATCATATAATGTTATAACTTGATTTGGATCATTGCCTGATTGATCATTCTGAATTGATTGTGATTCATGATTGATTGGCAAGAAAAATAATTCCTATTGTTTTCCAGCGAAGTCAAAATGTTACAGCATGAGTTATAATGTCGAGTTTGCATCATGTTAAATTCTGCTAGTGATTAGAAGTCCATGCACAAGCATACACATAAGAGACAAACACACCCAGGCTCCAGGCCGTGGATGGAAATATAAAACTATTTAAGGCACAAACTGGTATTAATAGACCGATATGTAGTGTCTGCCATGTATTGAAGGTAAACCAATCTGTATTATTAATGTTTCTTCTATCAATACATGGGTTGTGCAATAGAAAAGCAATGGCACAATCAAAAATGTGCATATCAATCGTGAATATCTCTCGGTTCAAAGCTTATTTCCAACAGAATCGTGTCAAAATATGTGTCTGAGTAACAGTTATACATTATAAGATCGCAAACTCTTACCAATTATCAGCCGAATGGCTCATTTTCAACGAAATGTCCTTAAGACAACAGCCCTGGGTCGCGCCTGAGACCAAAAACTACTTCAAATAGCCCTCCCCTAATTATATTGGATAATCACATTTATGCGTGCGCGCGCAGCTCATCCAATGAACGAAACGCCACTTCCCGCTGAAATCACCGGGTATTGATCTTTCCCTTGATAAAATGGAGAGAAGTGGAAGCACTGGATTACAAATACATGTATTTCAAAATGTCTATTAAAATATAATGTTGTCCTACAGAATGAAAAATATCAATTTTTGATTTATTTATGATGTTATTTGATAAGATAATGTGCGGATATTTATAAGTTCCCACTATGGTTACACCCCTTCCATTGTGAGATAGAGGGGGTGGAAACCAAAGAACTGATACGAGATCATATATAATAGTGCTTTACAATGTATAGCCATATCTAGTAATTATATTAAATAGTGTACCTCTCTTATGAAAGTCAGCTAAGTGGACGAGATCATCATTGTGATAGTGCTCATACACTGAAGTACCCAATAGCTCTTGTGGTAGATATCCTGTCATAGTAGTGGCTCTGGAATATAGAATTGTCTTGAGTTTAATGAATATACTTGTACATCACTTCCTCCCCCAGCCTAAAAGGGGTAGATTCGCTGTTAAACTAGGGGCCTGAACTACAAGTTTATAAGTAAACATGCCCTCCATAGAAATATAGGTTTTCTCTTCTTCCTTCTCTTTTTAACAGAAGTTAATTTAAAAGTCACAACCATGGAAACATTTAAAATTCAAGCTTCAACTGATATTACATTCTGATACTAGAACCTTAATAACAAAAGTTTAAAATAAAATAAATACTCAACTTCCATTGAAGCTCAAGTGTAATTTATATTACACGCTCTTTTGCATGAAACCAAAATTCAACTTGATTACTAAAAAGTTACTTGACATCTTAGTTAGTATCTATTGGTGTAGTATACAAACTACACTAATAGTGTTTGATGAGTAAAATCATTGAAGTTGATCAGGTAATTTCTGTTTCTGTTATTCTTTGGGGAACTATGTTTAAATAAATTGTTTGTAAAGGTGCTATTTCATTTTTCACTGGGACTACAGAATTTGCTATACAGAACAAAAGTTTTTGAACCTGATGTAGATTGCACGAGCTGTATTTTTAAATACTCTACAACTGTTGTTGTTAATTGTGACCCACATTTGACCCACATTAATGTGACCCACATTATCTAGGCAGAAAGTTGGGCGTATACTCTAGGCATGTTGAAATAAATATGTCTAATCATATGATTTTAAAAATTGTGCAAGAACTCCCTTATAAAAGCATAATTTGCATTAAATGTGACAAGCACGTATAAACACTTAATAATATATTACTCAGCCATGAGGCCCTGGATGTTTTACATAAGTCTTAATTGCTTTTTTATATATCATACGTAGGACTTCAGAGTGCAGTTAGGTAATGTAGAAGAGAAGGTCACAGTGCACATCAAGTTCAAAAATTATCAACAATTTTCTTTCACTGTAAAACTAAATGCTTATTTTTTCTAAGTATCTAATGCAGCCATTAAATATATCTTTAACTGTAAAGAGGCTGGAAATGGGATGTCAAATGTGGGGAGATTAATTCCCTTAAAATGTATTCTATTTGAGCATTTTCTATTTTCCTTATTTAAAAGTTGGAGCGCTTGGAAGACTTGCCAAAGTTTTTCTCTTTACAAATTACATTCTGGCTTTCTAATTATTGTACATTTAAAGATCTGATCCAAAATGGAGTATAATACAACACGGGTTCAGGGGTACCTTTCATTAGAGGACAAATCATGTCTCCAAGGCAATCACAGTTAAACTGACTAATGCCACCATAGTTATCGTGGATTGTCAGGTTTTTTGCTTTATTTCTTTATGCATTTCAGCCTATTACTCAAGAAATACATACATAAACAACATACCTCTGATCGACATACATAAATTTTCCATCTACAGCATGCCTAGACATAAACTCCACAGGGCGTGTCTTTATCCTTGGATTCTCAGACCACGCCTGGGGGTCATATTGTTGTTGCAACTGACCCACAGCTACTAAACAACTTAGGTTACAGTCATTATCATATTCATTATCCACTACAAGGTTTCTCTTTGCAGGGGGCCATGACTTCAAATATCCAGTACAGTGAATTGCTACATAAGTTTTCCTATCTGAAACAGAAATCAAAGTATCTAGATGTCATTATGTCAAAATATTATTGACAATCTTTTAAGAGGAGGGAAAGCCCCAGAGTTTAAAGATGACGGACATAATTACGTCTCTTGCTTACCACCTTCGTTCGTTCGAATATTCACCCCCTAAAATGAAATCTTAAGTTAAATTAAATCTTAAGTATATCCCCCTCCCTTCAAACAATCTTAGGTAGAAATCTTTACAGGGCTACATGTTTATCTCGCATACATAAAGCATGTGTCCTGTTAATAGTGCAGTCAGAATGTGGGTTTCGGCGTGCGTTCAGAGGGATTTTATGAGACATAATTTTTCATGTTACTACTATGATTATACATATTTTTATGGATTATTAGATCTTAGTTTTTCAGCTTTTAGATTTTGTGGCCATTTAACCCCCAATGGGCTAAAATTTGGACCCCTACTATAAAATTGGGCAAGAACTCAAAAAATACTCAGTGGAATGTTTCCAAATTACATTGTTATATTGGTATAGGCTAATTGAATATATGATAAAAATTTCATGTCACATGGTTAAGTGGTTGCCATGGAAATGGATAAAACATGCCCTTCGGGTGTCAATTTTCAGGCCAATTTTTCAGGACTGACAGAGTCATTTCATGCATATTTTGTCCCCAATGTGTTAGGAAGGGTTAAAATGTAAATAGAAAACTTCTATAATATATTAGCAACAATTGTATGTGAAGATCAGTCCACAAAACCTCAGATTTTGGCCTTGTATTGGTCCATGACTTATACAGGGGTCTATTTCATAGACTCGAGCTCCCACATTGGATGGATGCTATAACTTTTGAAATAATGGAGATACAGGTCTCATTTTTTCAGATCTTCATGAATGGTTAGTTTTAAGTATTTTAATGTACTTTGGGAGCTGACATGTGATTGGTTGCCATGGTAACCAGGGTTTTAGGGAAATTCTGGCCCCAACATTGGATGGATGCTATAACTTTTGAAATAAGGGAGATACATGTCTCATTATTTCAGATCTTAGACAATGATTGATTATTAATACTAAATTAGACTTTGGGAGCTGAAATTTGATTGGTTACCATGGTAACTAGTTTTTATTGAAATTTGGACCTCCTCAATTGATAAATGCTTAACGTTTGAATTTAAGCAGATACAGATATCATCATTTCAGGTCTTAAAAATTAATTAGGTTTGTGTATTGAATTAGACTTTGTAGCTTAGCATTTACTTGATTGCCATGGTAACCATGTTTCGTCGTCATGGTACCCTTAATTTTTTATTTCATTTTTACCTTCATTTGAGAATGGTCAATTCACAACATGTTATACCAAAACGCTCAAAATTATCATTTTGCTCTTAAATTCAGCAATTTATCCTGTATGTCTGACAGTATAGCCTCATTCCATTCTACTAGTTCTCACACATATTCTGACTCCCAACTTGTTTTTACTCATCATTATCGTTTTCATCTTCCACAATTACCTCTTAATTAAAAATATCAACAATTTCTATTGGAAAGAAGGATTCTTTTGACCATTCTTGTGTTAAAGATTTGTCAGGGAATTCACAGTTCATTCATGCAGTGTTGGGCATAATGGTAGAGCTGGGTTTAGGCTGGTGGGAATGTGTCCATACATAGGTTTGATAATTTACCCTCTTTAAATGTGAAAGAAAATGTCAACACCTTCATAAGTGAGGGCAGCACTGTTCTGTTTTGTTCTGTATCTCATGGGAAACAGCTCATCTTGTAATCTATTAGTGGCAGTTATTTTTCTATTTCTGCTGTATTTTTGCAGGTGAACAATTCAACTTTCGATTTTATGGTAGCGGGAATTCCTATATTGTTTCCTATAGAAGAAAACAACTTTAAGAATTGTTTGTCTTCCGTTTCAGTTGATTTACTTTTCCTTTGTTCTGATCCAGTAAACGCATTGAAGGCTAATATGGCTTCACACAGGACTTAGTCCTAGGTTTGCAGCTACAGGGGTTGGGTTGAGCTTCTGACATCTAATGGGACATAGTTCACATTTGAGGTTCTTAAGGTTGTTTTCTTCATAATAGGAATCAATATAGAAATTTCTGACACAAAAAAATCCAAAGTTGAATTGTTCACCAGTAAAAGTACAGCAGAATTACAAAAATATGTTTGTAACTTACATCAATAGATAACGATATGAGCTGTTTCACATAAGATATTCTCCAAAGCAGAACAGTGCTGCCCTCACTTATGAAGGTTTTGACATTTCAACTCTTCCCATCTTTCAAGACTGGTCCTTCACTGCTTTCATTGCAACTAATATAATGCAATGAATTAAATGATGAACTCTTCCACCTTGTAATGATTGCTCATTATAACATTTGAAGAGGATGGATGATAAAACTTATATTTGGAAGTGGAAACATTACCCCCCCCCTCGTCTCCCATCGAGTTCACTGTATATAAACCTTGAGGGGATCCTCAGCTCAGGTGGGGTACTTTTGACATTTGATATGGCAATGGACCCAAATTTTAGGATCTGGTATGAGAATGCTCTCCAAATTATGACTTGAGAGGTATGGCAATGGTCGGATTTGGGAATGGTTGTGAAAAATATGTTGCCCCACACTTGTTTTACATGTATGGCATTGATCTAGTATATTCTAAATGTGAGGTTGTTTTTGGTTGTTTTCCTCAATGATCTGCCTTCTTCTCGAGGCATTAGAAATTTTGAATGGCCATGTTTTCATATCTGGATATTTGGTATGGCACTGGTCCTATATTTGGGCATTTGGTATGGCTTTTGGGCATTATTTTGGTTGATATCGGAACACATTCAAATTTGACAGATTGGATGGGAACATATTGATATTTCAGGGTTCAGCCAAGGATCCCAACCACATTTTATATACAGTGAACCCACAGGGACCAGTCTTAACCCATTCTACCAAGTCCAATACTGCATGAATGGACTATATCCCCTAAGGATCCTTATCTCCAGAATGGTCAAAACATCCTTCATTCCAACAGAAATTGATGATAAGAGGAAATTGTGCTAAATGAAAACAGTAATGATGAGTACAAATGAACAAATTAGGAGTCAGAGCTTTTGTAAGAACTAGTCCTATGGAATAAGGCAATATTGTCAGACATACATGTATTGTTTAGTAGTATTTGATATTTTATGAGCCGAACAATGTTTGCATCTCTAGTATTATTGAGTCATGAGCATGTATATCATATAAAATAGAAAAAAAATCCCAAAATTAAGAATAAAATGGTAACTTTGAGCAACTTGGTATTTTAGAATAAAGGTGAATCTGAAAACGAAAACAGCAGTAACCATGACAATGAAACATGGTTACCATGGCAGACAAATAAATCCTAGCTTCCAAAGTCTAATACAATACACACATATTATTATTATCTTACATCCGAAAAGATTATATCTTATCTGGCTGTATTTAAGAGTTATAGTGTTCATCAATTGTGGAGGTCTGAATTTCAACAAAACCCTGGTTTCCATGGTAACCAATCAAATTTCAGCTCCCAAAGTCTAAATCAATACTTTAAATCCATCATTGTCAAAAATGTGAAAAAAATGAGACATGAATCTCCCTTATTTCAAAAGTTATAACATCCATTCAATGTCGGGGTCAGGATTTCCTTAAAACCCTGGTTACCATGGCAACCAATCATATACCAGCTCCAAACTTATATTAAAATACTTAAAACCAACCATTTATGAAGATCTGAAAAAATGAGACCTGTATCACCCTTATTTCAAAAGTTATAGCATCCATCCAATGTGGGAGCTCGAATCTATGAAATAGACCCCTGTATAAGTCATGGACCAATAAAAGGCCAAAATCTGAGGTTTTGTGGACTGATCTTTACATACAATTGTAGCTAATATATTATAGGAGTTTTCTATTTACATTTTAACCCTTCCCAACACATTGGGGACAAAATATGCATGAAATGACTCTGTCAGTCCTGAAAAATTGGCCTGAAAATTGACACCCGAAGGGCATGTTTTATCCATTTTCATGGCAACCACTTAAGCATGTGACATTAAATTTTTATCATATATTCAATTAGTCTATACCAATATAACAATGTAATTTGGAAACATTCCACTGAGTATTTTTTGAGTTCTTGCCCAATTTTATAGTAGGGGTCCAAATTTTAGCCCATGGGGGGTTAAATGGCCACAAAATCTAAAAGCTGAAAAACTAAGATCTAATAATCCATAAAAATATGTATAATCATAGTAGTAACATGAAAAATTATGTCTCATAAAATCCCTCTGAACGCACGCCGAAACCCACATTCTGACTGCACTATAACACCAGAGTCAGATTTTGATATCACTATAAACATGTAAACTTCATATACTGCCAAAGAAAAATGCACCAGGGTGCACCCACCTGACAATACTGGATAAATAGCATACTAAATATAAATGTTAAATGATGTCAATGGTAATGCTGATAGACTGGATCATAGGTTTTCAATGTAATAACGAATAAACAAGGCATTAACATGCAAAGTGTTACCACCTGCCATTTGCTACAGACACCAAACTCCAAAGGCTGAACACCAATGGCCAAACTCCAAACACTGTCCAGAAATAAGTTGATAGTGGTGATATTATAAAATAAACCCAAAGAGTACAAAAATCAATTCCAACACAAAACAAATGGGTCCCACAACACCAAATTGAAAACATTGTCATTTTCCAGTAATCTAATTTGGCTTGGCCCCTATGGTAGAACTTGTATGAGATTACAAAGTACACTTGATCAGCTTATGGTCTCATTTACGTGTGACTGAATGCTACTAGTTGTCTCATTTCCAAACTTTTCAGTAATGAATTAAACAAGGCATTAACATGACAAAATGTCACCACCTAGTTGCTCACAATATTATGAGTTCAATCTTAAGTCAGATTTGAACTTCTGAGAATCGAACTTGTAGATGATTTTGAAAAAATGGTCAATTTGAAACAAGTTAAAAAATACCTTTTTGATCTCTTACCTTGAGAAGGTCATTGAAGGTCAAGTCTCGAATATAAAGTCAGATTTGAAGTTCTGAGAACTTGTAGATGAATTTGAAAAAAGTGATCTATTTGAAGTAAGTTGAAAGAAAACCTTTTTGACCTTGAGAAGGTCAAATCTCAAATCTAAAGTCAAATTCCAAGTTCTGAGAACTTGTAGATGATTTTGAAAAAAATTAATATCTGTCTAAAAAGTATTTGTTAAGTTATTGGAAGATGTAAGGATTTGTTACCGACGCCGGACGCCAACCACCAACTGCGGCCCTCACAAAAAAATGGAGACCACAACAATATATAGAACATAATAAAAATGAGACCTGATAGGACAGAAAAGATAAAAAGTTATTAATGTTCTCTACTATTCTTGTTTTCCCTTTTTACAGATGCTTTAATTCATATTGAATATACTAATATAAATATTCATTGTATTTTTGAGCACTTCTTTATCACGAAGCTATTCTATCTAAACTAATTGATTCAATTCAGATTGCAGGGTCTTTAAGATTCAGTGGTTTTGGAGGCCATGTCATGTCAATGTACTGCTAATTATAGATGTCTTTAATATTTATGTCATATATGTTTTTGAATTAACACAAAGAATATCAATGGAAAATGTCTCATATTTGCATTAAAAGCCCTTTACAATATTGATTTAATACAAAAAATAGAAACTTAAGATTTACCTTTCCGCCTTTTTGTGGCAATATCATTATCTAAATCAGGCTCACTTTCTGTTTTTACAAGAGATGACTCCTTTGCAGCGCAGCGCATTCGACAAATGAATGATCGCCGTGCCCCAGAGCATAAGCGTGACTGGTCCTGGGGTACCTCTGTTTTAACAGGCATCATGGCTGAAATAATAATAGCGAATTAAGAACTGAATACAGTAGGGTTTTCATGTTACACGAAGATAGCAAGTCATGACGCAGGAGAGCCAAGTGTGTCAGGGTAATTTTACACAATTACATAAGTATCTTTTCCTTAACATTTGCTTCACCTATTGTATTTCTCTGTAATAAGTGTATGGCAGACCATTAATTCTAGTAAGCACCCATATTAATGAAAGAAACTAAAATCCTCCAGAAAATTTCATATTTGGCAATTTTTTGCCAAGAATGGCTTATTTGTAGAATCAGAACGGAATAACAGCATATTTTTATAATAATGGATCGCTATTGGAACGTTTAAGGTAAAGATCACTAAACCAAACCAATTGAAGAAATCAGTGGCTCCACATTCTGTTCCCTGATTATCTTCAGTATTTCCATAAAAGACTGTTAGATATTGATCCCATGTTGTATCTTGAGCCTCTGGATTTTCATGTAAAAGACCTTGACATGACCTTGATGAAAGCTACTTAAAAATACTCTTTTAATACCCTCTTGATTTCTTAAGAATTTCAATCTTATTCTTAAATATTCATCAATATTTGATCATTCTTCAATATTCCTTGAGCTCTGAGAACTGGGGCGGGTGGTTATTAGGGGGTGGGCCCTAATTACAAAGAGTACAATATTTTGCCTCATCTGTTTTTGAATCCTGGCCAACCCTCTGGTCATAACATAAAACATAAAAGTGCAAATGTACTGTACTGTAACATGAATATTTATTATTATTATACAAATATATCTTATTAGAATTGTAACAAAGACCTTGATTCTATTGCTAAGCAATTTCAGTCTTTCACCAATGAACAGAATAGAAGTTTCAGTCATATATTGCGCCATAAATCATAGAATCTCGGTCTTTACTCCTTATAAATAAAATTCAACTCACTTTTTGCATCTATGAATCTATCTCTAGGAGAGACATCAGAGGAGGTCAATTGTTCTTTGATGGTGGAAATATCCTTCGGATGAATGATATCAAACAAACTTTGACCAATCAAATCAGTCTGAAAATTCAATAAAATGTATAGAATACCAATATAATAATGAATGTCACACTAGGTGCTTTACATTATTGCAAAGACAGAACAAACATATATTTCAGATTTAAACAAATATCATAATATTGTAGGGGAGGGGGAATGGGGGCATTGTTTGTTTGTGGTTGTTCATTATTTAGCAATTAAGTGGTTATTTTTCTGACAAGTTTCTTTTTCCTGCTGTGTTTTAATCTTTTGGCTTTCACGCTCAAATATTTAGAGTAATATGCTATGAGGGAGATATGATTGATCATTTCAAAACTAAACAAGAACACAAATGTGTACAAAATGTCCCCACCAATGGGTGATCCCATCAAATGGTTATCCTGAAAATGAGTAGACAAGACTTTACCAACACAATTTTAATTGATCCGTCACACAGTTAACTAGAAAACATGTAAACAAGACTTTACAGACAAGATTTTAGGATGGAAAATCCAAAATGGCTGCCTTGACATTTACCCAGAATGTCAAAAAACTAATCTGTTCCTAGATTTTCATACTAAGAATCATCCCTGAAAATATGACATTGATCTACCAAATGGTTCACCTGAAAACGCGTAGACAAGACTTTACAGACAAGATTTTAGGACAGAAAATCCAAAATGGCTGCCATGACATTTACACAGAATGCCAAAAAACTAATCAGATGTAGATTTTCACACTAAGAATCATCCCTGAAAATATGACATTGATCTACCAAATGGTTCACCTGAAAACGCGTAGACAAGACTTTACAGACAAGATTTTAGGACAGAAAATCCAAAATGGCTGCCATGACATTTACACAGAATGCCAAAAAACTAATCAGATGTAGATTTTCACACTAAGAATCATCTCTGAAAATTTGAAATTGATCTACCAAACAGTTCACCTAAAAACGCGTAGACAAGACTTTACAGGCAAGATTTTAAGACGGAAAATCCAAAATGGCTGCCTTGACATTTATCCAGAATGCCAAAAAACTAATCAGATCTAGATTTTCATACTAAGAATCATCCCTAAAAATTTTAAATTGATCTACCAAACGGTTCACCTGGAAATGCATAGACAAGACTTTACAGACAAGATTTTAGGACAGAAAATCCAAAATGGCTGCCTTGACATTTGCCCAGAATGCCAAAAAACTAATCAGTTCTACATTTTCATACTAAGAATCATTTCTGAAAATTTGAAATTGATCTACCAAACGGTTCACCTGAAAACGCGTAGACAAGACTTTACAGACAAGATTTTAGGACGGAAAATCCAAAATGGCTGCCTTGACATTTACCCAGAATGCCAAAAAACTAATCAGATCTAGATTTTTATACTAAGAATCATCCCTGAAAATTTTAAATTGATCCACCAAACGGTTCACCTGAAAACACGTAGACAAGACTTCACAGACAAGATTTTAGGACGGAAAAATCCAAAATGGCCGACAATAAAAAAGTGATTATGTGTTTTTGCTGATTTCTTCTTACAAAATTATCACATATTACTACTGTTAACAATAACATAGGCTTTTACAACAAAGTAGATCTGAAATTATTTATAAAGCTACTAAATAGTTAAAGTATGAAAACTCAAAAACACCGTTCAATATGATACAAAGTATTATCGTGCGCTAACTTTTCTTAAGACATTCAAAATGGCTGACATGACTGAGCTAACAGGTCCAAAACCTAATCAGATCTAGAATGAAGTGAGCTGAACAAGATGTTAAAGTTTTAAAAGCAACTGTGAAGCCGTTTTTCTTAAAGTTTGCAGACAAGGATTTTAGCATTTGACTTCAAAATGGCCGACAGGAAGTAGGTATCGAGTTAAAATTTTTTCATCCACATCTGTATGCACTCATAAGTTATCCCTGAAAATTTGAAGGTGATATCTGTAGCGGTTTTGGAGAAAACTCCCGGACGTACGGACAGACGGACGGACAGACGGACGGACGGACGGACGTACGGACGGACGCGCCTAGGCCGACAATATGGCCCCACATTATGTGGCGGGGACATAAAAATTGGCACCTCCACTGAATAGCAAATCCCCACAGGCAAAATAGATATTTCATCAAATAACTACTTCCAAAGTTACGTTGATTGGTATATATCTGACACATGTCAATCAATCTCACAATTTTTTATATTGTATCAATTGAGGAGACCATAGGCCTAGAAACATGGCAATTTGGCGTATTTGGCAGGATTTTAAGAATCAGATATAAGAAAGGTCATAGAGCCAAAAGTTGATTAAACATGTATATGGCAATGAATTTAACCAATTTCTGGATAGGGTTAGATAAGTAGAAAATAGAGGTACAAGGAAAGTGGTGAAAACCTTTTTGTAACAAGTGGAATGCGAAAAAGATTAACTTTTTGACGTATTTCTGAGGTCATATCCATGTCATTTTGACTCAAAAATGCTGCTTAAAGGAGGGTACGTTAGCGAGAAAGGACATCATAAAAATATAGGTAAATTTCATCCAAAATACTTGAGAGTTGGTGAGTTAATATAACTTTGGATGATCTTTCCAATGGTATATCACACTAGGTACCATTTATTAAGGTTTTAGCTGTAGCAGGGGGGACGGGACTTATTTGACACCCTGTAATATAAAGTATAATATAGCCATACTTAGAAGAGATCTCCAAATAACTGCGAATTTCAACATCAGGTGGGCATTTTAGATTTTCCAAGGCAAAAATGAGAAAAATGATATCATATTATAGCTATCAACTATAATGCCTATTAATTGAGTATAATAAAGCCATACTTGAGAGACGACTCAAAATTCGGAAAATTGAAATGAAAATTCCTGTTTTCTGTACCCCATGCAAATACCATATGTGAGAAAATGCTCTCAAACAGTAACAACCATTATTTTAACTGGAAATGAAAGAAAATTAGGATTTTTAAGAATTCAACATCAGGTGGCCAATTTTGATTTTTTGAAAGCATGAATCTGAAAAACATTACGATAGATGCAATCTACTCTAAATACCTTTCATTTGAGAATTATAAAGTCATACTTCAGAGGAGTCTCAAAATTAACAAAAAAATTGTTCAATTGAGTGGTCACATTAGAAATTCCTTCATGAGCAAATGTACGATACCCATAAGTACTCAGCCTATAAAACCTGCCAACTGGTATTTTGCACATACTAATTTTCTGCATGAGAAAAAGTCAAATTCTGCAATAAATTCTGCAAGAGATCCCGCATTCTGCAAAAAATTCTGCAAGCAACTCATCTGAACTATGACAAAATAATCTTGAAGTGCAAAAGGCTGAAATTTGAGAATTTCAAACATATTTCATATTTCTGCTTGGAAATCTTGACAACACCAGTTTCTGATGACAAATGGCTGTCTAAGGTATCGAGATGGGTGACAAATATGAAATGAGATGAGGTGGTTGACTTGAAGTTCCATGAATAAAAAATCAAATTATGCCAAAATTATGAAAACCAAAATTCTGCGGGTTTCCTACAGAGACGTGGAATCACAAAATTCTAGTATCTGTGAAATCTGAGTTTTCCCCCAGTACATACAGACAGACAGACACAGACGGATGTACAGACAGACGGATATGTGGATGGCCAGTTCCTAGCTCCTCCATATTTCTGCTTAAACTTTGGTAAAAAATTACTTTACAATTGCCTAGACAATGGGACCTGAAGGTGATTAATCATATTCATGATTGAAAAAACTATTAAAGCAGATATGAAATGGTATTTTTAACCTAAAGGAATCAATATAATTTTTTGATAAATGTATTTGGACATTTTTTCTCATCAGTAGTATGAAAATTATTTCACTCTAACGATCGTTATAGCTGCTTAATAAGCGTTATTGGCCCCCACGTGATCTCTAACTGGTCCCCACGTGGCCCGTTTTGGTCCATTAGATCATGACGTCATAATGCCAAAATGTTTTGTTATTTGTTTACACAACAATCCGTTGCCGTGATGTTGTGATTACCAAGGAACCACTAAACCAAAGCTATATTTTGTATATGACGTTACTAATCACGTGGGGGCCAATTTGATTGATCAGTTAGTTTTATTTCGTTATCTATGACTGTTAGCAGTTATCTAACATTTATTTTATAATGGCTATCGCAAGAACTCTACGTTGGGTTTACAATAGAGAAAACCACATTTTTGTAGCTGCAAGTTGAGAAAAGCTATTTCAGTTGTCCTTTAAGGTAATGACAGTCCCCAGTGTTTAGCATAAAAGTTAAGCACATTCTCCAATATTTCATGAATTCATGATAACTTTGATAACGTCATAAAATCAGGTGATTTTTCAAGATAATTGAAGAGTTTGATAATACGATCATTATTTTGCATAACCAAAGAAAACAAGGTGGGAAATATTGATATAAGATTCACTTTTGCCATGAGAATGATATTAGATATTGTTTTAGTTTAAGTTGACAGTTTTTTAAAGTAAAAGCATGATTAGTAATATTGCTCTTTATATATTACTATTTTTCTTTTTACAAAATGATATGCACCATGGCGTCATCACATTGGTTACTATAGCAACTGTAAAATGTACATTTTTGTTGAGTATAAAAAACACACTGAACAGATCTAAAATCATCTGAAATTCCTGTCTTTGGGCTGCCATTTTGGATTTTACAAATGAAAAAATGTCAATATCTGCAATCTACAGTAAATACCTTTTATTTGAGTATAATAAAGCTATACTTCAGAGAAATTTCAAAATTTAAGGAAATTCCAGTCTTTAAGTCTTTTAAGCCTTTTTGATTTTACAAAGAATGAATATAAAATACATTTTCTTTGAATATGATAAAGCAGTACTTCTGATAGACCGACAGATGGACAGATGGCTTTTCTATAACCCATTCAAACTTTCTTCATTGGGCAAACATATTTAAAGGCAGAATCTGATCTATAGGGGATGACTGTATAATTGACCTACCAATCTATTCCTTACAACATCAAACACAATATCTCAGA